AAGGAAGATGTGAGTTGAGCATGCGAGCTCAAGTACGTTATCTGGATGTTTAATTTTATAGCAAGGAAAAAATGGTCATTAGACTGAGACACGTAGCTGCTTTATCTGGGCCCTTCAGCCACTGAATTTACCAAACGGTCAGATAGCAATGCTGTCCTGTAGCAATTCTTAGATAACCAGAGTTCTTAAGGCCTCAAGGTTTAGCTTTTAAGATACAGCACTTTTTGTCTCGCTGTTTCAACCATCGTCATCAGAGATCAGTTCGCAAAGGCTGCATAGAGTTCATTATGAAATCAAGAGTGTGCCATGGCAAATATGGTTCAAAAATTTTTAAATAATGCAGGACAAGACTGAAAAAAGCACAACAAATGCCTTTACATCACTCACACCACCCCCACCCTGAACCCTGGTTAAAAGGTGTACTGGAGCAATATTTGGAGACTTTGAAGGTATTAAAACATGGGGATCCTACCTAACCCTACATAAAAGTATATTACAGCCCAGAATATCTTACATAATGCAATAATTCAGTCTAAACTGTATGTTATTGACAAAAAGAACAACAATTATTAATATGAGCGATTCCAAACCTTGGGCCCGTAGTCTATAAATGTGACTGATGTGCACTGACCCATGTCTGAGACACAAGCCCCTCCCTGAGTGAGCCCAGCGAGCCCCACTCTAGGTGGGAGTAGGGCAGCTGAAGAGGGGACACCAGACTGCCCCACTCTCAACCAGGCTGACCACTGGTGTGTGTGTGTGTGTGTGAGGGGGGTTCAGCCCACGTCAAACTTAGTGGCCTGTCTAATCAATCATCAAACTAGCAGGCTTTTTTTCCCCCCAAAGGACGCACTTCTGTTGTTGCAAATTTCTGACTAAATGTCATTCAGGGACAGACACTAACCCGACTCTAGGAGTGCAACCATCATTAAGGTTTATGACAGATTATGACTTCTTTACAGCTAAAATCCACTTCTTAGGCCAAGGCTTATTATTGTTTTCAGGTAAGACAATAGATGATAATATTAGTGTTAATGTCAGTGCTATCAAAAACCTACTGACGTTTTTAACAATAGCGCTGGGCGATATGACTATCATCATGATAACATACATCAGTGCTCAGGTTCTGGGTATATGATGGGTATGGTAAGTACTTCTAGAACACTGAGCAACTACTTGTATCTTAAAAAAAAGACAATGGGAAGCATGTTATTTGCATGCTTTTTACAAGAACACCATCGCTGCCAGCACCAACAACAGCCAGTGGAGTGTAACTGCATAGAAAAAAGCAGCTGACTGGATGGAAGGCCACTATGACATTGATCTTATTTGAAACAACTGTTTGTTTCTGCCTCATGTTCCTTCTTTAAAAATTTATTTTTGCAAGTCTTAAATCTTAAAAAGCCAAAAATTGTTGCTCATTCTTTTTCAAATGTGGCACTGTTTTTTGTTCCTGCTGTTTTTCTGACTTTATCAGTTGATACTGAGTATTTTTCGAAGACAGTGCCGTTATCCTGCCTCTAGGGGCGCACCTATCATGAACTTTTACGGCAGGTTCTGACATCTTTACAGCTGAAAGCTACTTTCTAAACACTTAAAAATGATGTTTTTTCAAGGGTTCTGTAGTAAACAAAATGCTTCTATATAGAACCATGAACACTCTTTTGCATGATTAAAGGATTCTTTGCATCATGAAAGCGTTCTTCAGATTGATAGAGAACGTGCTGTCGACGCTTGACGTCATAACAATAGAAGAACCCTTTTCAAAAAGGTTCTATACAGAACAATCTACAGCACATTCTCCATCTGAAGAACACTTTCACAATGCAAAGAACCCTTTAATCATGTAAAGAGTTCTTTGAGTGTTCATGGTTCTATATAGATCAATTTTCTTTACTAAAGAACACTTGAAGAACCATATGTTTTAAGAGTCTAGGCCAACCTTTATTAGCCATTTTTTAAGGTAAGGAAATAAACAATACTACCTGAAAAACTCTTTTAAAGGGCCCATATCCTAAGCATTTTGTTATAGGTCCATATTTGATGTTTGACGGTCATGGTTATTTTGAACATATTGTACAGTTCATCATGTACAGTCATGACCATTTGCCATCCTCTCTTTATTAAAGAGGCTATTTTTGAATCTGTGCCTTAAAGACTGATATATGTAAATGCCCTCTCTTCTGATTGGCCGCCCTATGTTATTGTGCCTCATTCAAAAAGCACTCCAGCACCGAAAGACTCATAATTTCAGCGTGAACAGCTGAAAAGCTGAAAAAAAGGCTGATATGCGTAAATGTTTTGATTTTTGTGACGTCATAAAAATAAAACTAAACTGTTTTTGCTGCTTAGTTCCCATATGTGAAGTGTATGCAGGGTGAAACAGTTTATATTTTTTGATTTAACAGTGTTTACATACTACATCAAATTCACAGACAAGAAAGATTTAGTTTGTCACAGTATGAGCGTGAATGTACTTAGCTCACATTAATTACATCATAAAACTGCCACATAGATCAGTCAAAATAAAAATAAATTGTGCACCACTTCCTCCAGCATTCCCATACAACAGATCAGCTACAGCCAATGGACATGCTCGTAAAGCATAAAGCCAAAGGGTCATAGAGGTTAAGCTAAAGGACATTGGGTTTGGAAGAAGAAGGAGAGTGGATTATATGTCCATGTGTGTTTCCCTTGTGACCTCTAAATCTGCTGCTTCAGTCTCATGCTCAAATGATATGCATCAGTAATAGCTGCTTATTTGCTTTCCTGCTATTTTGTCAGCTCATGAAATTTGTAACATACGTCTATCAAGCAGGTAACACAGCACTGCAGCTTTAGGAGGCAAATGCAGTGCATGTTATGGCACTCAAACCCACCTGATCAATTCCAATCAGTGAATAACTACAGGGGTGGGCAATAAATGTTAGTGATCATGATAAATTACATCAGTGCACTTTTCTGAGTGGATGAGGGGTATGATCAGGACTTCTAGGACTCAGAACAACTGCATGGATCATAAAAAAGACCAGCTATAGAAAGCATATAAACAACAACAACAACAACAACAACAACAACCAGTGTGTAACTGTATAACCTGCATAGTGACAAGCAGCTGATTGGATGGCAGTCAATTATGACATCATCTTACTTTACGCATTCATTTTAGCAACTGTTTTGATTTTACATCCTGTTCCTTCTTAAAAAAAAATTTCCAGGCCTTAAATCAAGAAAAAGGTTACAAATTGTTGTTCTGTCATTTTTAAATTAAATATTGTGATGAGGGCTGGAGAAATGCAGGGCCAATGCCGATATCTGATATTTTTTATGTAAATATCTGCCAATGGCAACACAAACATTTAGAAAACGTACAAACTGAGACGACGTCTACCCTGAAGTAACATAATATTTAGTTCTGTAGGGTTACAAATGCAGTAGAATGAACGAAATATGTATATGTTGGCACAGTAGCCCTGCACCATCTGAACATGCTGCATTCTCCCAGAATACAATAAATAAATCAAACATTAGGCCTGGTTTTAGCTGACAATTAATTGCTATATAAACAATTGTAATTAACAAATGAATGTCTTTTTTGTTCATTATATGATACTATTAATATATAAGCCTACACTTGCCAAACTGGCTTCATGGTAGTAATGGGCAACATAGGCAAAAAATTATATCATGATGTAACTAATATTACTGACTGTTTCAGTAAATATCACCATATAGTGTATTTATTTTTTTTTATATAAAACCATTTTGAATGCTTAACAAAACCATTTTTGTGGATTACCGGTGGCATATTATTCCAGATGTCCCTTCACGTTTAACAAGAACCATGTTTAACAACTGAAGTAAGTCCAAAAATATTTTTATTGGGGAAATATTAAAAACAGAATTTTTTTTTAACAATATATAGACAGATGTCAATATTGCTTTCTAACTGTAACAAGCTAAAATCGAGTGTATGTAAAGCCCACAGCAGCATCTCTGGGCCTGGCAAAAATGGTGCTGGATGGCGTTTTACATCCGAAAGTCATTTGTCTCTATGTGTGTCTCTTACAATCAAGCTTTAATCTATGACCACAAGACGCTGCTGGAATTTAATAAACATTACAAGCCGCAGATACTATCAGTTTTAGCTGTAAGCCGAGACTACAGGATCGCCTGAAGCAGCAGGCTGAGCAAGGAGCGCCAGAGGTGGTGCACACGGAAAGCTGGCTAATCTCCATGCTAGCCTAACCCCAAGAGACGGGCTTTTCCTTCCACTCTCTTTTACCCCATTTAACTCATTAAAATCTGATGTCTGCTCTTTTGACAATAAACTGGACTAGCTGACCTCAGGCTGCAACTCACTACACTTTAGGTGAGGGTAACAGCGTGTTTGTATGTTGTTTGTACGTTGCGTTATCTGCATTTATTTGCATGCCAGTATAACAGTAATGATAAAACTAATACTTTAAAAAGACCTTCAACTGGTATATCAGATGAACCGGTATATCGCCTGCTACTACTTCACAGCTGTTGATACTTAGTGGATCCCAACTGACAACAGAAAAAGATCTCAAATAAACAAAACATTACTTGAAAGGTTTCACAGCACCAGTCAGAGGTTAGAACTACTATTGTTTTTGCGTCTTACTATTCTCATTCTCTTTGTTGTGTGTGTGTTGTAAACATATTGTGAAAGATAAGAAATGCAGAAGCAGCTTAAGTAACTGCAATCAGGCAATTATGTAATAATTGTGACAGGCCTTGATTCGTTTTTAAACAGTGATCATGAAATATATCATGTTTTGTAAAAATGTGAAGCATTATGATGTTATTGCCCACCCTTAATTAACAAGCCCTTCCTGAGCTGAGGGAAAACCCTAAAACTTTCAGGACAGGTGTAGTCCAGAGCCGGTGGGCTATTACAAATCATTTTCATTTGGATGATGAGCTCTGGCTTTGTGCTTTTTGACAGGACCAACCTCTCACAAAAAAGGTCTTACCTAGGTAAAGTGAGGCATTCTCCTTCTTCACATTGTCATCCAGGTAGGTTGGCCCCAAAGTGTAGATGGGGGTGGAACCCATGCCCACCAGAATCTGGGCACAGATGAAAAGCGCTACATAGATGGAGTGTTCATTGCCCTCCTGGTCCCGTGGGCAGGACGAGACGTCCAGAGCGTCCCGGCCACTGCCGTTGCCGGTCAGGCAAAGGCCTTCGTTTCCTGTCGAAGAGTTCACCTCCTGGATCTGGTAAGGGGGTGAGATGAAGTGGGGCAGGGAGAACATAGCAGCTCCCACGGCTATAAAAACCCCACCTACGGCCAGCCAACGTGGCCTCTGACCCCTGCCTCCAAAGTAGCTGATGAAAACCACCACCAGAAGACTCCCAATGTCAAAGCAGCTGACCAGCAGTCCAGACTCGGAGCTTCTGAGGCTGTATCTTTTCTCTATGGTGGTGATCACACTACTGAGGTAACCAGAAACCATCAATGACTGGATGAAAGTCAGGTAACACATGCAGAAGAGGAAACATCTCGAGTCTGAGAGGATCACCCTGACATACTTCCTTGCTGGAAAGTCCATAAGCCTCGCTAAGGAGAAGCCTAGCTTTTTGCTGCCGGCCCTGCTGGTCTCAGGCCTCAGGGAGCTGCTCAGGCCCACCATACTGGACATGGAGGGTGAAAAATCAGTCCGGGTTGGGGAGTCCATCTGGCTGGAGTCGCTTTTCTGCTGGAGCCCGCCGAGCACCGACTGCTGGTCAAGGTGTATTGCAGTCTGAGTTGTGCTGACCAGCCTTGATTCCAATGGCTTGTCACCTGCTGGGCATCCACCGTTGAGAACGGGCAAACTTTTGGATTTGTAGTAACTGCCCGAGTCCCCATACTGGCTTTGGAAGTCGCTGGCCTCAAGAGACACCGACACGTCACTTCCAGTCTCATCATTGTCAGATGAAGTCATTTTAACTCAGCTCGTAGACGTGATTCCGCTTCAGAACGTAACGCCGCAGGAGAAAGGACAATAAGGCTTGCCGGGCAGCCCAGATAAACGGTTACGAATAACTGAAGCTTCATGCATGATCCCTATGCCTTTCAACCAAACATGCCTATAGTTTTAATTTACTTCCTAACAATAATCATTTTTGCAAAGTGGACAAAATCAGATCATTTAAAACACCCCAGCTCATTCACTTCTACAGTAAGGAACAAAGCCGGGCTCATATCTTAAAGGGAGTGATCAGGCAGCAAGCAGGCATTGGTTTGTTCAGTGTATTTCATATTAAACATGAATGAATGATGCGTCTCAAGTGGAAGTTCTTGGCCATCAGGGTTTCTGGTGATGTTTTGTTCTGAAGCTCCTTTACTGGTCGCCGTGTGGGGTCGTTCCCCTTGACTTTATGGAACAGCTGCTCGGTATCCTGAATCAAGATGGGAAAAAAGAAAGATCAGAATGACAAAAGAATGATTAATCACAGCGCCACTGATAATTTCAACTGTCCACAAAGCTACAAGTAGTCTGACTGTGCGTGTTTCAGTCAGTCCACAGGCAGCCCGCTGACTGAGGAGACAAAGAACAGAACTGACTGACCAGCAAAAGCACTGACAGGGAAAAAAACGAGATGTGAAAAGCAGCGCTCTTCATTTTCTGAAGCATCTGCTGGACAAAGACCGACACCACAAACCCACCGATCCCACAAGTCACGACTTTACACACTGAATATGAAGCAAAAAACTACAGCTGCTTTGAAAATGACAGCCCAAAGAAAAGAAAGACTCGGGTATCAGCTGACCGCCTGCACCCACAACTCAAAGAAAAAACGTTAAGAAGACCAAAACAGCGAATGAAAGAGGTTCGAATAAGAGGACGGTACTTACAGGGGAAAGGGAGGTAGATGTTGTTGTCCCCAGCACGGCCACTCACTGAGTGAATGAGATTGCGGATTTGATGGAGGGTCGGAGAAAAGCAGACTCTCGCACTGACTTCTGGGACGTGTAGTTTTTTTTTTTCCTTCAGTCGTCGCTGCTTGCAATGTTTAGCCGCTGAAGTCGCCTCAAAAGTAAGAAGTCTTCACAAACTCTGCTTACCTGAAGAAGTGAAAGTATGTATGTTAAAAATCTTAATAAAATCTGAAGTAGGGTTTATAAAGTTAGCATAACGTACGTCCAAGAACGAAAATGTGCCTGCGAGCCAAACTTCAAGCTAGGCTAACAGATGCTAGGTTTTAAACAAAAATGCAGAGGCAGGCTAAGTACAGCACTTCTGAACTTAAGTAAAAGTAAATACTCTTAATAAGTACAAGTACACGTTTGTATTTAAGTTAAAGTACAAAGGTACTTGCTGGATGTGCTAAAAGGGGAAATCCACCGTTTTTTTCAACATTTTCGTAGCTATAATTCAATGGTTTAGTTGTAAACAAAGCCATTCACAGTGGTTTAAGTGGTTTGATATGAAGTCGTTCATTTATAGAGAGATTTGCCGACTTTCTTTACTACAGTGGTGGTGATGGGAACCAGGAGTCCCGATGTCTACAATGCAAATATTGCAAAAATTTCATTTACTATGCAAAATCACCAGTGCACCTACAGGGTGTCTTCTCAGTTTTTAATGAAATGTTGATGGTAAAATAGAGGAAAATCTGAAAAAATATGTTTTCTTTAGGGGCTATTTTGCCTTGGAACACCCTACATGTATCCCGCCACCATAAATTGATTAAGATAAATTGATTAAAATATGTTTTAGACCAAAACTTTATCACAAAACTACCATGAAACAATGTCTTAGACATCAGTGTATTCATAACCGTTTCATGTAATAACATTCTGTGAAGAAGCTTTTAGAGGCATTCAACTCTTTGGACGTCGGGTCCCTATCACCAACACTGTGAACAGTTGTGACTTGAGCATTTCACATCAAACCACTTTGAATAACTTTGTGTTCATCTTGAAATCAGCAGAATTCCTCTTTAAGAGTTCTGAGGCGTTTATTTGGATCCTAGCAGTTAAGATGCTTCTGTACACCTTATCCTGCTGTTGTCACGTAATCAGTAAAGATGACTGAGCCACTTTCGGCCATGCATGCTGTAAGCTGGCTCTCTTTGGATCGTGAGCTGCTCCTTTTATAAAGTAATCATTCTATACTTTGACACCACGATCACTGTTTCATTTCACATTCAGCATGCTGGCCTGCTGAGCCAAAACAATAAAAACTGTGTCACTGTTCAATAGTTTACAGACTGCACTGTATATTACAAATAGAAGCTAAAGACCATTAACAGCTTTCGCTCACAATAACTCGAACTGGCGTGAGGCCTGAATAATCTTTGTGAATCTGCTTTCTCACATGTCATAGGTTAATCTTCTTTCTATTTCTGTCACTCTCTCCCCAGATAAGGACTGGCCTGTGGGCCGAGCAATCACAGCAGAATCATAGAGGTCATTATGCCATCCCCTCCTTCCTAAAGACCCCTCTGATCATCTGCACTGCAACAGATCAATCACGTTTTATATCACTTCAAGCCGAAGGGATCCAAATCAATAACAGGCGCGGAGTGGAAAATAGAAATGTAAGTGATTGTTTGCAGGGCTGTTGCCTCTGAATGGATGTGGGGGAAGTGCATCATTATTTGAAAGGGGTTTCTTTTCTCCGGTGAATGGAGCAAAAAGAAAGGTTTTTAATGAGGAGCAGGAGGCCAGTGAAGCAGTGTGAAGGTGAACGCCACCCTGAGCTTCACTATCCGTGTAGACACACTGTCAGCCTTCATATGAGGCTATACTTGAGTTACAGTTGTGTGCAAAAGTTTGAACACCTCCAGTCAGGTGATGTTTTATTGATTGAAGTGAAAATAAGTGAACACATCCAAACACACTCGAAATATGGCATTTTTCTGCCAATTTCAGTGCATAATTTCCATTTCTTTGCTTAACATGAAAAACAATAAAACAAAATTATAAATGTGCCATATCTTTTGTACATGACACATTTTGTGTGTTACATTACCACTTACCAATAGATTAGCCCAATTACATGGGGGCCAATGATATACAACAACAACCAGTGTACAGTAACTGCATAGTAACAAGTAGCTGATTGGATGTCAGCCTGTTCACCTTAACAAATATTTTTATAATTTGCTTTCGACTACTGTATAATAATAATAAATAGCCTTCATAGCCTTTTTCAAACGTAGCACTACTGTTTTGTGGGTGTGTTTTTGTCTGTTCCAACTTACTTGCAAACTTTATGAAAATAGTGTGATACATATCATGTATCGTGAAAATGCATGCAAATACTGCGATATATTTTTTGCCACAGCATCTAACCTTAAGTGAAAGAACAGATATTATCCCATTGGTGGCCGGGCGAGAATAGATCATCGTGTTTCGGTAGCTTCATCTCTGATTATACATGTATTATACATGTGTTAGATTCAGTAAATAAAATTCAGTAAATTGTGCATTAAAATGTGCACAATTACTGTGCAAAAAAAACCTTTTTTTCTAAATTTTATGATCACAAATAAAAAATTGTGTAGGTTCACTGGTGGCTTTGGATAGTAAATAAAATGGCTATATTTGTGTTGCGTGTACCAGTGACTGCTGGTTCCTGACACCACCACTGTGAAGAAATGTAAGTCATTAAGTTTCTCTACAATGAACCATTTCAGATCAAAGCACTCTGAATGAGTTAGCTTATGTCTGAACCATTTATGCAGAAAACTCTGAATCCCCCTTTATTAAATTTCAGTCATCACACATATCTTTCACACATATCTTCACATTTCAAATGACTAATAATTTTTTGTACACAATGGCGACACCTAGTGGTATAAAAGTGAAACACAATCCATTACGTGATTTGGAGGATGAATTCCAATTGACATTTGAAAACAGGATGGCAGATTAAAAATGCTAAACTTTTCTGACACTTTAAATGAGAACAGAGATTTGCAGTGGGAATGGATTCTGATGCATCTCTGATGAGGTAGACATCTAATTAAAGGCTTCCAAGGCCTTCCAGACATGAGATATGATGAGGGACAATATTTACAGGCACTGAACATGCCTTCATAACAAACCATCTCCTTTCAGTTTAAGCTGTTATCTAACAGGTAATGCAAGTACACAATATTGAGTCATTGTTTTATGATAGATGCAAGAAGGTTTCGTCCTGAAACAAATATTTTAAAAAGGCAGTTATGGTTGGGAGGTACATGCAAAGTGCTGTAAGGCAAAATAGTCCTCAAAGAAAACTTACTTTTTCAGATTTACCACTATTTTACCATCATCATCATCAGATATAAAAAGTCAGAAGACACATTTTGGACAGTAAATAATTCGACTACATTTGTGTTGTAGACATTGTGAGCCCTGGTTCTCATCACCACCACTGTAAAGAAAACAGAGTCGGTAAATGGTAACTGAGTTACCATTTCATTGTAAGTTTCTCTTTCAGCTGAACTCTAGCACCATGACTGAACTGCACACATCAGCTCAGTCAAAACACTGTTATGGGTATTTGTTTCATTTCAATCACTTTGCAGATGGACACTAAAAGGAGAGCTGGACTGTCAGAGCAGTGAAAATAGGGGTGGGCAATATGACCCCCACTTTACTGTTATAGTAATAATTTAGACATATTATTCACACACTTTCCTGAGTATATGATGGATATGATCACTGAAAACTACATAGATCATTAAAAAAAGACCAATTACATGGGGGCCAATTATATACAACAACCAGTGTTCCTGTATCCAGTAATTGTATAGTAACAAGTAGCTGATTGGATGTCAGCCCGTTCAGACATCCTGTTCACCTTAACCGATATTTTTTAAAAGTTGTTTGCAAATATTGTATAATAATAATAATAATAAAATTGTTTTCATAGCTTTTTTTAATGTAGCACTACTGTTTTGTGGGTGCGTTTTTGTGTGTTCCAACTTGTTTGCAAACTACAAAAAAAGTATTGTGATACATATCATGTGTCGTGAAAATGCATGCAAATACTGCGATATATATTTATTTATTTATTTTTTTTAACATCTACTGTTAAGTGAAAGCACAGATATTATCCCATTGGTGGCCTGGCAAGAAGAGATAGTGTTTCAATAACTTTGTCTCTGATGTGTAATTATTATTCAGACATAACGCTAATGTTGTTGCGGGATTCTAACATTCAGCCAAGAAAAATTATCTTGGGACTCAGAAAAAAAGCAACATCAGTGTTTGACAAATGTTTATTTCGTAACAGCCTCTTGGCTTTCCAGAAGCCAGAATTGTTTCAACACCTCCAATGAATAAAAACATTAAAACTCAATCATTTCTGCAGTTTGGGAAGATCATTCCAGAACTAACTAAAACTTTACTTCAGCAATGAATTTCTTTCTAAAATGAAGGACAACAGTCAGAGACACTGAACAATCATTGCCTGGAAGGAGAAAAGAAATCCAGAATTTGGCACTGAATTGGATTGTATATGATTATACTGGTTGTGATATGGATCTGTAATGGGACTTAGATTTACAGAATCTGCATGACTTTATAAAGGTGAATGTGCACTTGTGTATTGATGTGTACTGATTTGTTGCATGAACCAAATGAACCATAACCATCACCATCCAGTTTAACCACAACCTGTTACCAATGTGATTGACAAACTGTGCTCAAGCAATGTGGCGTATCATAAACAACAACCAAGGCATGAACATTACAAACAGTATGACTTAAAAGTACCAAGAACACTTTCAGTCAGATATTTACTAAACCAAGGTGAATATTAATCTGGGCATTAGCAGATCAGGTGTTTCCAATCCCTTAATATTTGTTATTGGGATGAAGCCTGGTGTATGTAATCTTCTATATAATGTTGTGACAAGTCGGTCTGAAAAGTGCATCATAACTTTTAGTATTGGGACACTTCTGCTTTTGTGGTTCACTTATGACTGAGTGCAATGGTTTCATCCAAATAAAACTTGCTTTTCCTTAAAAAATAGATTTAAAACATACTTTTGTTGGCATTTTCTGCTTGAAATTTAAAATACAACCCCGACATTCAAGCTGCATTAAGGCTCAATCTCTAAATATATATATATATATATTCTTATATGTATATCTTACAAAACATAACACTGACTTCTAATAAATGGAAGCACCTGTAAAAAAATAAAACAATAACATTAGGATTCAATTATATGATTCTCCCCAGCTGGGAGGGTTTTTTAGTGTCTCTGGGTGACTGGCTTTCACAGTACATTGCTTGCAGGCCTTTCTCAGAGGGATTTGTTGGAGGGGGAAGGACCCAGGCCACTGCCCTCAGAGTCCAAAGGTTTTTGAGGGTCCAGATGAGGGTCCTGGGACGTATGAACATGAAGAGGTTGTTGTGAAGGCCTGGCTGGAGGCGTTTTGGCCTGTTCTGGGAGTTTTTCTGGCTTTGTGGATAAGGGAAGTAGGCCTTGGGCCTCAAAAATGTCCTCCTCCTGTTCCTCTTTGTCTTTGTGGTGGTCAGTGGCCTGACTGAGATCCAGCTTGGCCCTCTGGAGGCCACTGGAGCTGGACCGAAGGAAATCATGGTGATGGGTCTCCAGTTCAGTCAGGCCATTGCCACTGAAGGTCATTCCATCTCCATCCAGTTCATTCTCCAACTGCTGAGCCCATGTATCCCCCCTAGAGAAGACCCTACTGGGTGTTGGGAACCCCTCCGGAAGTTCATTGGCAGATTTAAGGGTCACTTTAGGAGCACTGGGGGTCATTATCTGAGGTCCTGTGGTAATTACAGGGGTCCAATCACTCTGGTTTAGCGCCCCCGATCTGTTTGCTTTAGGGACAGTAAGGGTCACGATTTGATGTCCTGTGGTAATTATAGAGGTCCAACCATCTCGGTTTAAGACCCCAGCTCCACTGGCCTCCTCTGGACCCCCTGCCCCAGAGCCCAGCTCATCCAGGGGGTCAAGCTTATCGGTCCCGTTGAGTTGCTTTAAATCGCTCAGCAGTGCAAACATCCTATCTACATCCTTCCCAAAGTTGGTCCAGTCCTCCAGGTTGGGACTGTAGTCGTGCCTGTGCTCAAACAGGCTGTCGTTCACACTGTAAAGTCGCGCCAGTCCCTGCCAGTCCACGTCCTCCTGCTCCGTGAAGTTGGGCAGCTTAACCTTTTCGCCCGTCCCATGCTGGCTGTGCACTGGAGAGAGAGGTAACACAGTTAGAAAGCTTTGGAGAGGCACCAATTATGAAGAAGCAGATGGATTGCATCTAAAATCATGCACTCATGCATGGCCTTAGCCAATTACGGTATAAAGGCCATGAAATTATTGATTAGTGCCCCACCACATCACTGCAGAGCTTTGCTTGGGACCAATAAGAAAGAAAGCCTCTATGTTCTGAAGCAGTAAGCATCGCGAATGGACAAATGTTCTGACATTCTTGACCCGTCATAGCACAAGCAGACTGTGCAAAGCCTCCTACGCAATGAAGATTGTCAAGAAAAAAGTAACAAAAACTTCAAACGATGCCTTTATGGGGTTTGAAAGGAAAAATCCAGGCAACCTGGAATAAAGAAGTAAGGAAGGAAAAAAAGGAGCACATGGAAGAAGGAGAAAAAAAAGAAAATCTGCAGCATTAAATGGAAAGGTGAAAAGCCTTGATTGAATGAGCATTCCCAAAGCAGCAATTGCTCAGACACTGGCAGCATATCCACGCCTTTAATCTCTGCACTCAACTGTGTGTGTGTGTGCCACGCACTCAAACTCTACGATATGGAGATCTAGGTGGGATGAGTATGGAGATTATGGAGATACATGGAGTTACAGTCTTAGAGACTCACAGGGACGAAAGGCTTGGCCTCCTCAACTTTGACCACTTTCGATGCTGCTGTTGCCTGGTAAGCAGGTAAGCCAAAAAATAGGAACGTCAAGAAAGACGAGGCAATAAATAAATAAATAAAAAAGCTGATGAAAAGTAAAACATTATAGTAGAGGAGCTACAGGAACCTACAAATGTGTTACAGTGTCTAATTATTATTGAAGCTTGAGATATGATTGCATTCTAATACAAATGCTTGAATGAATGTAAATCTTGGTTTTCACTTTCAGACTGAATCTGGGATCATGTTTGTACTAAAATGTTATGTAAGAGGTAAAGAAAAGGCTATTTCTTGAAATCAACTTGTGGTCTGTTTGTCCAATCTAGTCACAACAGTGGATCTTTTCATGACCGTGGGGACCTCTCAGGGCCCTCAGAATTTTTGAGAACTAAAAAAAGTTAATTAGCTTATTTCTATTTAATGGAATCATAATGCTTGTCGTATATAAACTTTCTCATTTCATTGTTTTAGTTGGAAAGAGGTTAAAATCTCTTTAGTCTTTAACAGATACAGCCAAGCAAGTTCTCACACTGGTTAGGACTTCAGGAGCCAAACTGAAGGCCTGGACATTAGATTAACTTTCAACATCATTTGGAAATGACAGAGGAATCAATGACATTTTGATTTCCAAAGGGTGGGACTAATTTAGTGAGGGGAGAAAACGCCACTCTAGGCCTCTAGATACATCATTGACTGTGAATGAGAGCTGCAGTCTAACCAGGTTTCAGTTAGTTGTTGGGAATGGAAAACAGCAGCAGCAGCTTTATGCCTGGACTCTTTACTGAAAAAGTCAGTGTAAAACTGATACAAGGTGAAATATGCTAGATCAGCTACATTAGTAGTCAAAATAGAGGTTTACACAAAAGACTAAGAGATGAAATATGATGCAAAATAAGTATCAAGAAAAACAAAAACCTGTATTGATCCTGAACCTGGACTTTATGTTTTAAAAAACTGCATGTAAATTGCAGCCCTATATTTAACAGGGCCAAAAATATTTCACAGCTTTTTTTTTCGTTGTTCAGTAGATTAAATTGTGTTCAGTTATGTACTTTTTGATTAAGCGCCATTCATTCCCCTTCATTTAGGCAGAGCGAAATCATACGCATGAATAATTAAAAAGGAAATGGACTACTCACAGTGAGTCAATGAGCAGATTTACAAGGCTGTAACATCAGCTTGCGTATTCATAATTTCTCATTTATGAAAATGAACTATTGGAATTAAGTGCTTGAATTAATGTTAGCGCAATCCAGCATGCACAAACACGTTTAGCTTGATGCGTCCTAGTACATTAGTGGAAATGAGCTGGATCATGCAGTTACAAGGGAAAAAAAGCCACTGATGTAATCAAAAAGGGTGGATACCTGTGTGGATCATAGCTTCCTCCATCTTTACTCCCTGATTAGGAAAATAAGAGCAATTGAATGTTAATGTGTCAATCGTGGACAAAGGGAAAAAATAGATAAATGAAGAAACATTCATGATGTAGATCTTCATGCATGGCATTTAGCCCCTAAGGAGAAATGCGGTTATGGAAGACGCAGTGAGTAGAGAGGACTGATGATAAGGGAGACTGGGCTGGATAAAGATGGATGGTGTGGCACAGGAAGATCCACTGAAATAAATCAGATAAGGTTATCAAGAAGTGACAAAGTAAGTATACTGTTAAAGGTGGCATTTGAATATGTGTTTGTGAAAACAGTCAAATGCCACATCAATGCTGCTAGTATAGTTAGCATTGAAGGGAACTGTTCAAAATTTCTCCATAGTTAAAAGGGTACAATGTAAAGATATTCAGAGGGCGTTTGGTGCAAAATGCTTCACTGTAGAGAAACTTACAGTCAGAATTATTCACAGCGGTGGTGATAAGAACCAGACGTCTGAAGAGTTTAATGCCTCTACAAGCTCCCATTACAGAAAGTTTTTATAAAAAGTTAAGACTTTGTTTTATGACACTTTCAAGATAAAAATTTGGTATTTTAAAATACATTCTTGATGGAGTGGTATAGGCAGGGTTTTGTGCAGCAAAAAAGTCAAATTTTTTCACATTTACCACTATTTTACCATCATCAACATTACATATAAACTCAGAAGGTGGTTTTGGATAGTAAATGGCTATATTTTCATTGCAGTCGTTGTGATCCCTGGTTCCTATCACCATCACTGTAACTAAGTCTGGTTGAGTAAGTTTCTCTTCAATGAACAATTTCACATCAAAATGATTTCAAAGACTTTTACATCAACAGCTGAATTATGCAGCAGTTTTGAAATTGGTGGAATTCCCCTTCAAGTATAATAATAACACTATTTTCTGGTAGTCCACTGTAGATGCTCACCTTGTATAAGTAAAAATTGAAAAAAAAAATGGAGAGGGCCAGCAACGTTATCTATGTAGATAATCTGTGGTGGACTATCAAAATCAATATATCACTGTTGTTGGAAGAAAACCTTGCATCTCCAAAATGATAACTTTACAGGAGAAGGAAAAAAAAACATACTTTTATTTTTAATGTAGGTCAATGGAACCAGACTTTTTTCCAAGTCATTTTGGGCCATTTATTTTGGTCCTTTGTTCATGAAATTTACACACAATGTAAAGGGCAACATGCATTTTCAAATTATGTCAAAAACTGAAAAATTACAAAAATGGAGATACGAGGTTTTCTTCCGACAGCAGCGATATATAGGCTTCAATATAGTGAGACCACTACAATACAATCATTAGGTTTTATATTTACCTCTGTTTCTTTGTAGATGAAGAGCTTTAATGAGCTTTATTTTCTATTCTTTGGATTCACTTCCAGCATATCAAGTGCTGAATACATTAGAACGTCTATTTGCGTTGTAGCGATGTACTGCAAAGTGGACAATGGGGTTGTAAAACTGCACTGATGCATTTGAAGGAACGTTAAAATCTTTTAAAATATCATTTAATAATCTGCTTATATTTGGGGCAAAATAAAATTTCTGTGCTATTTATGAACATAAAAAGGTTAAAAGCATCATAGTGTTTTTGTCTAAATTGCAGTTGTGTGTAAAAAGTTCCTCCAGTCATTTGTTTATTCAGTGCATTTTAATCCATAATTCTGAATTGTACTCAAATTTGAGAGTTCATGGTGCACTGAACTGTTTCCTAATGAACTGTAATTAAATCACATTATCAAGAGGTCAGAGATTTACACCCCTAGTGGACACTAATGGTCAGCAGACGGTACAGAAAAGTCTTCAAACTAATCAGCTGATTGGTAAGCACACTGTAAATGTTAGTTTTTTAAATTATTTTTAACTATCATATTTTAATTCCTCACCCAAAATGAACACAGTACATGATGAGGCAAGCATGAGATATTTCCTCCAAATGCTTTAAACAGAACACAAGGTTTATATGGACCTGCAGACGTCAGTGACCCATGAGAAAGACACAAAACATTTCACATCATTATTGCTGCCATTTACAAGATCGCCAACCATCTGGCCTTGCCTTTAAAGGAGAGAGAAACAAAGCACAGTGAGCACACGGTCTCTTGGTGAGGGAATAAGACAAGAGTCATTAAAGGAGGATGAGGAACAGGAGAAAGAATTTGGTGTTGAACCCTCCACCTCCTACAACCACACTGGCTCACGTCATCACGTGGCTCAGGGCTGTTCTCATGCAGCATGCAATACCACACAGAGCTAGAGGAAAACATGCTGGACCATACAGGCATGAGGATTTTTGTAGTCATGTGTCATGTAGGGGTGTAAACATGTATCTGTGTGCACTAATGTTTACTATAACAAATAAAATTCTTGGTCTATTTTGAAACAAAATAACCTGACATTTTCATGAAGCACCGAGTAATTTCCTCAACCATGAGTAATAAAGGTCAAGATCGACATCCCTACTGTCATATATTTTTCATTTTGAGGCTCTAAGCCAACAAGATGGTCTAGCATGTTTTAAAATATCACTGGCATTGGTACAGAGTAAAAAATAATAGTAATTAACATAAAACAGCTGTAGTACCTGCATCTGGGTTCTTTGGTCTGGGGTTGCACTGCTTATGACCCTGACAGCTCCTCATCTCCATCAGCTGCAGATGGAGCTGGTTCAGGACGTCTCTGTCCACTGTGTAAACTGCATTGGTCAACTGCAACCACATAAAATCCACTCAGTGACTCATCGCCAAAACTAAAAGAAAGTACAGGCTGCGCCTGAGTAGTTATAGAGTAGAGATATACACACACGACAGTGTCAATATCGAAATACTTTATATATATATATACTTATATGACCTAATGGAAACAAAGAAATGCCAATGAACTTTACCTTTAAAACTAGTTTTTAATCATTAATAATAATTAATATGTATTCATTAATATTTAAGCGTTTCTTTACCATTGATGCTCATCTCTTTATTTATTAATTTTTCAGTTTAATGTTATAATCTTTTTTCATTATAATTTCATAATAATCTATATTATGTTGATTTATATCTACCTTCGAGCTGCATCACCGTATGAAAAGTGATATGTAATTGTATTATTATTGTTCTTATTAGTAGTAGTAGTAGCAGTGTAACTATATAACATATGTAATACAATACAAGGCATCTCTGAATGGGATATAGGCTACAGTCTTGTGCAGAAGTTTGTGCACCCCCAGTAAAATGACAATCAGATTTTCCAAATGAAAATAAGACAAAACCTATGAAGGACCAAACATAAATATGGCACTTTATTTTGCTGAATTTAACATCACTGAGAAAATCAACAGAACATCTGACCAGGAATGCATTTTGCATTGGACTGTATAATAAAGATGATGAGTGGTGAATTGTTACAGATACAGAAATTAGCATTTATTTGTGATGAAGTTACAGTGTGGCTCACCTGGTAGGGGTCACTGTTCAGATCAAAGTACTCCAGGAATCCGGTGGCAAACTCACAAAAGAGCGTGTTGTGGGTGTCGTTAATGGTCCTCAGGCACCAGTAAGTGTTGTTATTTGAGCTGGTGCAGGCACAGAAACCTCCAACTGCACAAAGAGATTATAATCAGTCATTTTCCTGCTGCAAAGCAGAAACTACAAACCTAAACCTGCTGGAAAATAAACAAACCATTTTCTTAGGTGAATTTACATTGGGTATTTATATATTCATGTATTTGATAATTCTCAGCACAGCTACTGCTTATACTGCTATTCTGCTATATATTTAGTTCATGTATATTCATAAGTACAGTTTTATTGCATTTTGTGAAATTATATTCTATGTTTTTATTACATTTTCTGTGTTTGTGTGAGCTCCTGCCAGAAAAGAACTCTTTGTATATAAAAACATACTGATGCAAAACAGTTCTTATTCACTACTATGCAGATACACTGAAGGCAGTGTCAGCTCTAGTTAACAGCTTCAGTTATTACTGTGCCATTGTGCAGTCTAAGATGCTCAAGTGAGGAAAAAAAAAATCTGTTAATGATGTCTCAAAAAAGAACATCTGGAGACAAAAATGGAGGAGAAAAGGAGATGATGAGACAAAGCTTAGAGATATAGCTGTGTTTTGTTTTGTTGTTTTAATGTTATGCCATTTGTTTTGGCTTGTTGGACAACAAGTAGTAGTGGATCTGGGGTCTGTCTAACAAAGCAGCTTCAACTTAGGTTTTCTGTCTGAGGTTCAGCTTCAGAAAAACCTAAAAACACAGATGTGGTTAACTTGTTTCACAACAACAGTTAAACTTTCTCTGTTAATCCTGTTTTAGATTCAGGCCTATGCTCATGAAAGCGTGACGTTTATGACCGCCAATCGTGTGAAACTTGAGTGGTCACCCAAGAATAAAAAAATCATACTACCTAAATATGTAGAAAGTAAAGCATTCATAACAGTAAAAAAGTTACACTGTCGCCACCAACTTAAAATCCAACTAAGCTTAAAGTTAGCTGGATAAGTAAGAAAGTGCATGGTGAGACAGACCCCTGGATCTAGAACACTGAGGCTGTTATCTGTACTTTAATCTGTCATTGTAACTGTCAGTTAGTGCAGTGTCGTACGGTTCCAGAAGGGGGCGGTCTGCCAGTGGTCGTTGTTGTGTGTGAAGCAGGTGAGTCCAGGCAGGCTGCAGTCGTCTCCCTTCCTCTGCCTCTTCCTCTCTTTTCTCTCTTTCTTTCTGCGGCGGATCTCGTTATAGAGTTGGGCTTTGCTGTCCCCTTCATGCACGACCTCTCTGTGGAAAACACAAAATACGTTCAAGCTGTGTTTGACATGATGATTTTGCCAAAAAATTGCAAACAGTATGCAGTAAGTGGCCAACATGACTTTCTCCAGTACGCCAAACATGACCTACTACTCTGACCAAATATTCCAATATACAGCCAGAGCTGTCTTCATCATACACTGCAACCCAAAATGCAACGTGGCCATTTCAGGAAGACGTAACCACAGACGTAACAGCTCCTCATTCAGCCTTTTATGATACATAAATGAAATAAAAAGAGATCATTTGTCCTGCTGCTGCACTCACAATGCTGGAGCTCCATCAGTTTTCTCTACTGGTGTTAAGGTGGGTTTGATTGCTTTGTCTACTTAATAAAGTTAATGTACTGCATTGATAACATAGTTAAACGGTAATTTAAAGTTGACCAAACAACCTGCACAGTGTTAGGGGTCCTTGCTTAATATTCAGTCAAACTAGATCATTTTACTAACTACAAATGAAATGAAAATAAAATGATCTTTTAGCAAACTGGCTCTATCTAACGAATCTCCAAAATGGCAACATTACAGGAGGCAAAAACGTCCTATACTCTTAATGTGAGTTAATGTAAAGAGATTTTATTCCAAGCAATTTTGGAGCATTTGGTCCATTCATCATGAAATCAGACAGCTTGTTTTGTTTACTGGATACTATATACTACTGTGAAGAGTAACATACAGTATGCAGTCTATATTGGTGCAGTAAACATAATAGTATGCTACTTTGAATACAGCCTTAGATTACATTTAAATGCAGGATATGGGCTCTTCAAGGCATGATAGACCCCTAGCTCATAAGCATGCTCTCCTCCTTAAAATACAGTGCTGTTGCACTGTTCAGATCCATTCCTCTGCAGATGGCTTCCAGATCTGTGCTCTACTCAACACTCCTGAAAGGGATGCAGTGAGTTCGATCCTGTTTGTTTGGCTTTTCTGTTTCTGGACTGCAGGGCACACAAACACCCCGAGCGACAATCGCTGGACAGTGTCCACGTCTGATGTACATTGGCGCCATGAAATCACAAAACAATTCGCCACGTTTCTTTAATAAACAGTCTCAGTCGCTTTCAAAGGCGTTCACAAAAAAAACAAAAATAGAACTCAGGACTGTAATGTGGATTCAGAGACTCATGCACCACATAAATGCACTGACATGTGACAAGGTAACCACCATAAACCCATAATATTTCGTCACTATTGGAATAAAACCTTGCATCTCCAGAAAGTAACTTTACAGAAGAGGGGAAAAAACAAACAAACAATCTTAACTTTCACAGTAATAAATCATTTTGGACTGTTTGAGTGTAAACAGCAGCTGGTATTTTCAATTATGTAAAATAAATGAATAAATAAATAGTTTTTGTTCCAATAGTGATGATGTAAAAAAACACACCCGACATACTGCACAGTTGACCCAGCAGTGTTTAAAGGGACTTTAGTGGGGATGCAGACACCACACACAAAGGTGGACACAGGGACACACACAGCTGGGAGAAACTCACTTAAAGGGATGGAGACGGCTCCTGCTCTTCACTCTCTCAGGCTTGTTTCTGTGCCCTCTCTCTTTGCTATAGTAGCTGCTTTTAATGAAGAGAGAACAGTACTGAGTTTATACTTTAAAAGGATGCCTTTGCCCTCTCACTTCAAATGTATTTGATGGTCTAAAACAGGAGTGCACAACCCCAGTCCTGGAGGGCCAGTGTCCTGCACAGCTTGATAGTTGTCCTACTCAAACACACTTACTAAACATTGCAATTAACAGAAGAGTTAAATCAGGTGTGTGCTGGACACTGGTCCTCCAGACGCGAAGTTTTGCACCACATATTTGGTGACAAAATTTTGAGTTTAATACTCCTAAAAGCTCCCTCACAGAAAGTTATACATGAAATGGTTATGAAGACACTGCCTAATGCCTGAGACCTTTATGGCCAACTTATTTAAGTTTAACCACTATTTTACCATCATCAACATTACACATCCAAACTTGTAGGCAAATAAAATGTCTGTATTTGCACTGACGCCATCGTGGCCGCTGGTTCCCATCACCACCACTGTAAAGAAATCTGAGTCTCTAAGTTTCCCTAAAATGAACCATTTCACATCAAACCACTCTGAATGACTAAATCCCAATGACTTAATTTTGCAGAAATGTGGAAAAAATGATACAGGCATGATGTTTGCTAGGATTCCATTAGTGTTAGCTTTAGTATGAACAGAAGCAAAAACAAGCAGTATTTGGACACCAAACGTCTTGGCCGATGGAATACGTTTGAAGGAGAAAATGTGAAAAACTTATCCTCAAACAACTTAAACTATTAAACTTGACAGGCCCTGAGCACACTAGCAGAATTACAACTCATCAGTGCAATGCAGTTCAGACACAACCTACAGTTAATCTGCTCAAAAGGTAATCGGTTCTACATGGTCATTTCTGTGTTACTGCTCTATTGTATGTCATCAGTTTGGTAAGTAAGAAATGGAAGATTCACAGCTGGCCGGAGACAAAGCGTCAGAATACATGAATAAGGAGAGTGATGCAAGTCTCTGAAACTCTTCAGCTGGAGAGTGTGTATTCACTTTAAGCGCAGCATTTGGCTCCACAGCTCCAGGCCGTCACAGCATTGAGTAACACAAAAAACCAACAGCAACTCAGAACTAAAATACTCCGGGAGCTTTTCAGGGCACAAAGTGTATTTATAATGTTCCCTCAGCATTTCCATTTTTTGATGACAAATGAAGTACAGTTAGTGCTTAACACAAATCATTTAATCGGTCAGTGAACAGTGAGAAAACTTTCCCAGATTACTGATATAATAGTCATACAGGAAGACGCAAGAATCAGTAATGTAATTCTGGAACAAACCTCTTTTTTCCACAGTCACACTCATCTGGTTTTCTGCTCTTCAGGTGCCCTCGTACCTCTCGCAGCTTCTTCATTTTGTCCTGGAGCAGCTCGATCTGCGATGAAGACATTGAGACACACCATGATTCAAAAGAGTCAAGCAGCGTTTGTCAGGGCACAAATCAGCTATCATATATGACATATACATGCTCAGCATGGTATGAAAATGTTCTCCAACCATGCAAAGAAGCATTTCTGTGGTTCTTTAAGTTATAATGGTTCTAAATAAACTGTCATCTTTACTAAAAACCTTGAAGAAACTCTTTAAGAATGTAGCAAAGTGACTTAATAGCTAGAGTTGCTCAGCTTACCACTAGTAGACTACCTGTATCCCTCTTAAATTATAAGTTTATTAGTTAATCATAACTTATTTTTCAGTAACTACTACATATTATTCAGGAACTACCATGAACTTATGAATTATTCAGTAACTACTATAAATTGTTCAGTAACTGCTATAAATGATTCAGTATCTACAATGAATTATTTAGTAATTATTATGATTTATTCAGTAACTACTAGGGATGCAATGGTACAGTGGTCCTAAGGTTCAGCATGCATAACGTTTTTGAGCCACAGTAATGGTACAGTATTTTTATATTTAAGAAAAAAATAAAAACATCACTCTTTAGACAATGAACTCTTTATTTTGCCTATAGATAAATAAAACCTTCCATTCAGTTTTCAGTTTTTCTCTGTGATGTTTCATAGAGTTCGGGATGCTCGCTAGTGCTCACCATGGTCACGCTGAAGCTGAGGGATTATTTATTTATTTATTTTTTCCCCCTCTGTCTTCTCCAGCTTGTATTTGCACACAGAGCACTGATATGCTCCAGGGAAATTCTGATTTTGAGTGCTGATAGGCTCCAGAGAACTTCTGTGGACTTGAATGTACAATGTGCTTGTAGTCTGCAGTGCAATAAGCAAGTAATGAACGGTTCGATAATATACTGTGTACCGTTGCATCCCTAGTAACTACTACAAAGTACTCAGTAACTATCATAGATTATTTAGCACCAAACGTGAATTATTCAGTAACTACTATTAATAATTCCGCACCGGCTATTAATTATTCAGCACCTTCTATGAATCTAATGCCTGAGTTCTGAAGTTGTGAGTCAGAGGAACTGAACTGTGGGTGCACCTACAGACACTTAAGGGTTTAAAGCAGGGGTAGAGAACTGCTGCCAAGGACTCATCAGCTAATTACCAGGTTCTGCTGGTGTGCTAGAGCAGGGAAATCACCACACTGTGCTGGACGCTGGCCCTCAGTTGCCCACCCAGGTTTAAAGGACTAAACCAGTGCCAAGACAATAATGCTCACCTCCTGGTCCACAAAGCTCTTGTGGTCTTTCCAGGCTTTAGAAGACTGGTAGATCTCTCTCTCACAGTGCACAGTGTCATTCAGCAGGATGTAGCACCTGTCATGCATTATGTAATTAGCAAAAGCACATATCATATATTCAAAACACACACACACACATATTTATATATTTATATATTTTTATATATATATATATTTATATATTTTTATATATATATATATATATTTTTATATATATATATATATATACACACTGAGTTACTGAGTTCCTTCTGCCTAACATACTGTAAATGTAAAGGACAGCTGGAGTTTTTACAATATTGTGAATATCCATAAATAGGCAGATGAAAAGAACATCCTCCCTTACTTGTGGGTGACTTTGAGTGAGTTTGGGTAGCCCACAGCGTTTGTATCGTCGGCCAGCATCTCCTCAGACGTATCGTCCGACTCCAGGCCAAAGTCAGGGTCAATGGACACATCTGGCTCGTAATGCCGCTTGCTGATTGGCCGGGGCTCTGTCGCTGCCCTGTCGTCCGCCTGCAGGTCCACAGCATAAATCTCCCCCTCAAACTCCACTGAGAGAGAGCGGGCAGGACGAGTGTGGACAAAGCGAGGCCTGTAGCCTGTCATAGAGAACAGATACAAACCTGTTCATGCATGTATTTAGACTGATGTTCAAGTAATCCATTTCATAGTAGGTAAGATGGCCATGTGGAGAGATTGTGTTCTATTAAAATGCCCATTGACTCTACTGCATATTAGGTAAACTGTTGATTTTCTAAGTGAAAATAAGTTAACACATCCTCTACAGAGAATAATTTTATTCGCAGTTTATTTGCCGAGTTTAACATTGAGAAAAAATAATCATACAATATAACGTGCCATAATTTTCTGCACATGCCACACTGTATTTTTTTTTTTTTCCACAATATGTTAAATTCAGCAAATAAACAATGATTGTGTATTAAATATGCAGATGTGAGTTCTTCGTAGATCATGTGTTAACTTAGAAAGTCATCAAAACATCATTTGAATTTGGGTGGCCAAACTTTTGCATATGACTGTATATTCGCATCAATATTCTTTTCATATTAGCAGCAATATATTTATATTTATTATTATTTTATTTATTAGGTCAGATGACTCTCTGAGAGATTGTGTTTAAATATAGATTTATCTGAGATATCTAGTGTACATGAATAGTAATATAATTTTTCATATTAGGTGTGGTGGCCATCTGGAGAGATTTTGTTCTATTAAAATGTACAAATAAATCTATTTGAAGTGAGTCTATTTTATATTAGATAGGATTTCAATATGGAAAATATTGTTCTATTCCAGCATACAAATATTTCCCTTTGAGTCTCAACAAGAAATAATAAAATTCACTGTGCATGCACATTGTAGGTGGCACCAGTAGATGTCACTGCAACACCAAATCTCAAGCTTGACTGTGAATGAAAGCACAAACTGTCTATCATTTATTGACACTGTGTTCATCACTATCCATATGGGATGCTTTTCAGTGCACACTGTGGAGTATAAGAGTTCTGAGACAGCGTAATGCTTAATTCAGACTACACAGTATGAGTACTGATCTCACTGGTTTGTAGTGACCTGCATTATTTCTCTAGTTAATCACTGTACTGGCCACTCAAACATACATACACCATCCTGCCACTTCATAAAGTACACCTCCTTTCTATCCACACTCATTCTCCAGTTTATCAGCTCTCTTTACAGTTACAGATTGTAGTCCATCTGTTTCTCTGCATGCTTTGTTAGCCCCCTTTTACCTTTTTCAATGGTTAGAACCCCCACAGGACCACCGCAGAGCAGGTATTATTTGGATGGTGGATTATTTGCAGCGCTGCAGTGGCACTGACATGGTGGTGGTGTGTTAGTGTGTGTTGCACTGGTATGAGTGGATCAGACACAGCAGTGCTGCTGGGGTTTAACACCTCAGTGTCACTGCTGGACTGAGAATAGTCCACCAACCAAAAACACTGAGCCAACAACATCCTGTGGGCAGCATCCTGACACCACTGATAAAGGACTAGAGGATGACCAACACAAACTGTGCAGCAACTGATGAGCTATCATCTCTGACTTTACATCTAAAAGGAGGACCAACACAGTAGGAGTACCTAATAGAGTGGACAGTGAGTGGACACAATATTTAAACACTTCAGCAATACTGCTGTGTCTGATCCACTTGTACCAGCACAACACACACTAATACACCACCACCGCGACAGTGTCACTGCAGTGCTGAGAACGATCCACCATCATTGGCCTTTGCGATACCAATATGGCAAAAGGCCACAATATGCAAATGAGTCCTCTAACCAATCACAGCTCCAGATGAGTGGAACTGTAGGTGAATCAAGGTGAGTATTTTGATCAAAAAGATTTTTTTGGTCAACATAATGTAGGCCAATCTTTATGTCACTCTATTAGCAATGTAATCACAATCCTATAGTATTTTGTCCATATCATGTATCCCTATAGTGATGTACTAAAATAACTATTCATCTGTATCAGTGATTAAGCACACAAGACCATCCTCAGTCGCTCAGTCCCAGGTTTTACTCACGCTGGCCGCCGGTCTGTGAGACGTGCCTGTGTTCCCTCCTCTCTGCTCTGGCCGGTTTGTATCCTCTCTCTCCGCAGCGGCACTCCCTCTCCCGGCTGTCGTACGATCGCAGCCGTAAGCTCCTCGCTCTCTTCCTGGAGGTGGCCTTCAGCGAGCCCTTACACTTCTGCATGCGCCACTTCCCCGTGATGTCCACCACACAGTGCCACTTCTGTCCGACACAAAAACACCACTGTATCAAACGAGCACCACTGTATCAAACGAGCTAATTTAGTTTTAAATTAATTAGTAAATTAGATTACTGCAGGATTCAGAACTTAGCACAACCCCTGTTGTCTAAAGTGGCCTTGTTGCACTGGGCTCTAAACCATATTAAGAAGTCTGTGCAACTTTAATGAAAACCTGGATGCAGTATGAGCAGACTGAGAGAAGCTTGGTGGATGTATTTATGGAAAAGATTTGTGTGGCTATTGACTTCTAGTGTCTGTTAGCAACATTAGCATTGTAGCTCCAATTTAAAATGAAAGAAGCAAAAAATGTGGACAGAAAATGTGGACAAAATGTGTCTTAGCTCATTGACTCCCTTTAGGCTACAAGGAAAAAGGCGCAAATGTGATTTTCCACCAAACTATCGCTTTAAAAATGAATATGATGAGCTGATATGTATCTATACATCATAAAAGCAAAACCCTTCAAATGAATCCCATAAAGAACTGTCCAGAGGCTAATCTCGTGCTAATCTCCTGGTTTGGTGTACACTCCCTGACCACAGCGCAGACATTTGTTCCCAACTGTGGGAAACCATGTCCGAACAATGACCACGGACCGATTTCCTGTGGGCACTGGCAACCTGACCGTGTGGGTGTGTGGTTGTGGCTAACGTTACTGTGTCTGTGCAGCTACAAATGAACAGACAGACCCAGACGGTGGCAACGTTTGCATGGCAGGTGAGCCAACCAAGCCACTTGTGAGCCACTCACACACTTGACTTTAGCAAGTGGTTCAGACATACATCCCATAAATATTACATAGAAATGCAAGTATCTATTTGTAATAATGATGTGTATGTATAAGTAATGTGTGTCCAATATGCATTATATATAAATGCATACAGGTACGAAAAAGAAATCCATGTAATGTTTTTATGTTCTCTCATCACTGGCAGAAAAATCTCCTATCTGTAAAGTGACTTGGAAAAAACAGCGTTCAATGTAACTATATTTAAAGCGATTTTATTCAGTCATTTTGGAGCACTTCTATTGGTCTGTTCATCATGAAATTTTGACACAGTGTAAACAGCTGCTGGAATTTTCAAATTAAGCAAAATAAAACCTTAAACAAACCTTAACCATAAAGAAATGGTTTTACTCTTTCAGTCCAATGAAACATGGAATGTTTTCCTACAAAGTGTTTCTACAAAGTCAGTTCTCAAAATGAAAACACTCGCAACAGCGTACACACACAATGACACAGATTCACACTGCTGTGTAAACGTACACGCGCACACACACACACCCATACCCCCACCCCCCCCCCACACCCCCACCCCACATACACAGAGACACAGAGAGAGGGAAGAGAGAGAGAGAGAGAGAGTCTGGCTCCAGTAGCTGCTGGTCAAACAGTCAAAAGCAAACACATTCACAGCCAAACTCTGCAGGCCCGTGCTAACTCGCCATCACACTCACACACACACTCCCTCACACACTGACACACACTCACACTGCCCTCATTGACTTCTCCACAGGAAGTGGAGGAGGACAGCACTCATCAGGTGAAGTCTTGCATTACTGCTGTTTTTACAGAGCAGAACACATTCCTAACAGAGAGAGAGAGAGAGAGAGAGAGAGAGAGAGAGAGAGAGAGAGAAAGAGAGAGAGAGAGAACAGAGCGAGAAAAACAGATAATGAGAGAGACAGACAGATAAACAAAGAGTAGGTGAGAGGAAGAGAGTGCAAGAGAAAAGAGAGAGACAGCAAGAGAGAGTGCAAAGTACAGATAAACAGACTCTCTCTCTCTCTCTCTATATATATATATATATATATACATATACACATACATACATATAGTCTCTCTATATATTGCTCATAAATTATACACATCTCTATATATGACACAGAGAGAGAGAGAGCGCAAGAGCAAGTTGTCTGTCTTGTTTGATTTGGCCTGCAAGATATATGCTGACCCTACTCTCATAACTGATTCTAATGTATCGTTCTCATTTTCTAAAAACTGTATTTCTGATGTAGTCCAGTAAGAAATTGTGTAATGCTGTACATGTCTAAGACTTTATTTGAAACCTACCTGTCTCCTTTAACTGTATACTGTTTTACATTTTTGGCTCTCAGACCACCACAAACACTGCTCTTTTGCCCCACAAGACAAAAAGTTTGGGCACCCCTAAGACAAAGTATGAGTGAAGGAGAAAAAGAGACTCTACAAGCTCAGACTCGATCTCAGTGTCAGACTGAAAGCCGCTACAGTTTTGTCTACCGTTTTCACCCAGACCATGACTGAGTTTTCACTGAACGCATTTATGTCACAGCGACTAAATGTTTGGGCGCAAAAGAAGAAAAATTGAGTCCTAGGTGTGAAAAAACGACATACACAGACACACACACTCAAAACCTGTATATCCAACAGCCTTCGTTAAATAAATATTCATAGGTGAAATCACTTGGGTATTATATAGAGACATTTATAAACTGCCTACTAGTAGCCTACACCTACTTAGCCTGCAGTAGTTTCATGCTGCCCATTCACCCTGAAGTTATGTTTCTGAATGAGACACAATACAGGCCAGCTAATCAGAACAGAGCTCATTTACATATATCAGTCTCAATTCTTTTCTGCCCAAATTCAGTGAAAATGGCCTGAAACAGTATTTCGGAAACAGTATTTCCTCAAACACTGTTAAACAATTCACATTTCATTGCACTGTGACAACACAACTCTTTCTTCAAAAACAGGCAAGAGCGGCTTTACCCCACACCTATACAAGTGTGCACTTTACTCATGCACACATACACATAGTCCAAACCAGAACCTCTTTGTAGAAACTTTGTTTTTAATCAAATTCCCAGACTGAGCATTAGAGGCAAACACTTAACTCTGCTATAAAAGGTGCCTGGTTCACATTAGCACCGTCCTGGAAATCCAGACTGCATTTTAATGCTACCTAAAATTGTAACAATTTGTATTGTTCAGCTCTAATTCAGCGCAGTGATGTGGAGTGTTAGGGGGGCAGGCACTCTGAACGCTGCTTAACAGGCCACTGATGAAAGACGACTACAAGGGCATTAGCTGCTCTTACTAAGCACACCGATTTCTAATTACACCTCGATGGCTGTAAACGGCAGCTTGAATTACAGCAGCTCGCCTCAGGGGACCAAACTGCACCAAACACTCGCCCCAGCCTTACTGGGATGTTCTGTATGATGTGTAACCTGCCAAAACAGTTTGTGAAGCCACATGGAACCATTTGAGTAAATCATGTCCTTTATGTGGGGACCAAATGTATATACATTAAAAATAACGTGTGCTGTACCTGCCCAGGCTGTTCGCAGGCTGTCTGAAACTCGGCCTGTTGACACGCTTCTTGAACCTTCTTGTATTTGGGCAGACTGTTGGTGTGCGCTGGGCTCACGCTTCCTGTTGAATCTTCCTTCTTTCGTAGGATTTTGCTGGAAGGACAGAGAGGCTCAGTGAGCTGGACTACAGATAATTTCTTAATTATTTATATGGTCTGGTTCAAACTTCACATTCAGGGTTCTCATAGTCAGTCTACCATCTTTAACAGATTTTAGCCTGCTTTAGTTTTCTCCCTACTTTTATTATTTTAAATCATTTTTAACAAAATACTGTGTATACATTATACATAAATTGCACATAAAGGCTTCAGTCATATTCAGACAGAATTCTGTCAGGCTACAGTCGGGATCAGACAGAATTCTGTCAGGCTACAGTCGGGATCAGACAGAATTCTGTCAGGCTACAGTCGGGATCAGACAGAATTCTGTCAGGCTACAGTCGGGATCAGACAGAATTCTGTCAGGCTACAGTCGGGATCAGATAGAGTTTTGCCAGGCTACAGTCGGGATCAGATAGAGTTTTGCCAGGCTACAGTCGGGATCAGACAGAATTCTGTCAGGCTACAGTCGGGATCAGATAGAATTTTGTCAGGCTACAGTCGGGATCAGACAGAATTATGTCAGGCTACAGTCGGGATCAGACAGAATTATGTCAGGCTACAGTCGGGATCAGATAGAATTCTGTCAGGCTACAGTCGGGATCAGACAGAATTATGTCAGGCTACAGTCGGGATCAGATAGAGCTTTGCCAGGTTACAGTCGGGATCAGACAGAGTTTTGCCAGGCTACAGTCGGGATCAGATAGTTTTGCCAGGCTACAGTCGGGATCAGAAAGAATTTTGTCAGGCTACAGTCGGATTCAGAAAGAATTTTATCAGGCTACAGGTGGGATCAGACAGAATTCTGTCAGGTTATAGTCGGGATCAGATAGAATTATGTCAGGCTACAGGTGGGATCAGACAGAATTCTGTCAGGCTACAGTCGGGATCAGACAGATTCTGTCAGGCTACAGTCGGGATCAGAAAGAATTCTGTCAGGCTACAGTCGGGATCAGATAGAATTCTGTCAGGCTACAGTCGGGATCAGATAGAATTCTGTCAGGCTACAGGTGGGATCAGACAGAATTCTGTCAGGTTACAGTTGGGATCAGACAGAATTTTGTCAGGTTATAGTCGGGATCAGATAGAATTATGCCAGGCTACAGTCGGGTTCAGACAGAATTTTGTCTGCCTACAGTCAGATTCATTTTTTAGGTACACATTTTTTTTCATGTACACATTTTAGTTGAGCTACATTTGTGTTTTGAATGAATTCTGTCAGGTTGCAGTTCTAAACTTGATGCTGAGGGTCATATCAGACTCAGGCAGAGAATGTTCTTGGGCTATATTTGGGTTTGGATCAAAATTTTTGGCCCAATTTGCGCTCTAGTCAGCCTCACCCCAGGCCGTGTCATTTGACCTCTCTACACTGCACTCACCCTAAAGCCTCTTAGCCTCAGTAAACGCTCTGTGCACTCCCACGCCACACAGAAATAACCGCTTCTGTTTCTGGCCACTAAATAAATCCATCTGTCTCTTAGTGCTATTGTGCTGCATTTACTTTTTTGTCTGACCCATGTCCAGGGTGGTTTTACATAGCTGAACAAAAAAAGGCTGAATAATAAACAAACCATCAAGTTGTAAACCATGCCCTTAAGTGGAGAGCGGCCTGCTCTGAGGGGCATTTTATTACAGCAGATTAATGAAGTGGTTACAATACTAATCTCATGAGTCATAAAACAGGAACTGTCGTGGCAGCTTGCAAAACAGGTTGGATTAATAGCCCTTTCGGTATGAATACATGGGCCACCATGGGTCTGATTTTACGTGCAGCAGTTATTTGGTCACGGGAGCAGCCGGCTCTGATCAGCAGCGCTTTATTGTTGTTCCGATGGAGGAAAACTCGAAGTTGCATGCAAACGTGCAATAAAGGCTGAACTGCAGGAGCAAAGGAACAAAAGTATGGACAGCATACAGGCTTTGAGGAGTGCTACTCCTGAATTTTGCTATGTATTGTCATTTTTATAAAACATACTGAATGACTTTTACAAGCTTTATGTTTTACATGTTTAAATTAGATTAGAATTTAGGTTAGCTTTGTGCTAATGTATTATTAGAAATTCCATAGGGATGCTAGCAAACATTAGCATAACAGTAGAGATGTTTTTTTTCTTTCTTTCATTTCATTTGCATTCCTGGCCTGAACTGAAGTCCTAGCTCTCAATCACAGTTCACTATTGCATAAAAGCACGTCATACATGGTGAGAAACCACATAAGCGAGTCTATCAGAGGTTACATAACAACTCGACAAGGTTTGAGATGTGTAGATGATTTAGACTTGCAGTTTGGATGATGCTAATTGGTGTACATAAGCATTCCACTTGTTAGCTACATTAACCTTGTAATGCCAGTGCAAGACTGACACTGTTTGGACCCATGTCTTGGATGAACAACTACAAGGGTGAAATGGTGTAAGTCAATTTAAGTTACTTAAGTGGTGTGTTTTTATGCAGTTATAGTGGTAATGTGGGCAGAGAATTGCCTTCAAGAGAGGTGAGCTGCAGGCTAAACACGATACCTCAGCAGCATTCCTCCCTGCACTCACAGGAACCCTGTGAAGCGTCTGAGCTATCGGGTGAAGACTTTCTTTCATTCCACAGGTAATGGCATATGGCTGCCGCCTAGGGGAGGGTTTGTTTACGTTGTGCGTGTCTACGTCCACAGAGTTACTGTAACACATCTGACAGGCTGAGAAAGTTCAGCGAGCCAATTTAAGCTAATTGCCAGGACATGCAGGGCGTGTTCACATAAGGAGCTTCACATTCCCAATAGCAAATATCTCACTTTCCAAATATCATATAAATATGACAGAGTGCCTGTCATAAGAAAACCTCATAAGACCACTTTTTCAGTTTGAAAATGTCAACTTCCATTTATATTGTGTTTTATAGTAAATGGACCAATAAAACTTCTGAAAAGAAAATCTTTCAAGCTCTAAATAACATTAACAGATGTTGAAGGGCCCATTTCATGTAAAATTTTCACAACCAGGTAGTTTGGAAATTAACGTTCCAAAAAGTACAATTTACTCCCTAGTCTGTACTGTGCAAATATGGAATATAAGCTGCAAAAACTTTTAAATTCATTTTATTGATGAAACAAAAAACAATTAATATACAGTGATTTGCAAAAATTTAAAACTCTTGTCAAATTACATTGTATTAAATCAAACTACAGTTTTGTTAAATCACTGAAGTTACAGATGTAAATGTAATTCAGAGAGAACAACCTTGCGTATAAAATTTTTCTTCAAATTGTAGTGCACAATTTCTGCTTATTTGTTGAGCTTAACAAAACGTAAAAGCTAAAATATGAAAAGGTGCCACAACTTTTGCACATGCCTCATTTTACGTTATCTGTTTTCCAATATGTTAAATGCAGCAAATAAACATTAACTGTGCCTTAAAATGTGCAATAATGAGTTCTCTGTAGAGGACCTGTTCACTTATTTTTCACTGAAAATCAACAAAACGTCATTTGACTGGGGCACCCAAACTTTTGCACATATTGTATCTGCCTATTCAGCCTAAAGCAGTTCAGCTCCACCCATCCATGCTGAAGTTATAAGGAGCGTTTCAGCCTGGACTGCTTTTTTGAACGAGGCACACTTCAGGACAGCCAATCAGAGCAGAGCTCATCTACATATATCAGTCTTAAAGGCACAGTATAACAAGGCTGACAGGCTGTTTAATTGTAAGGGATAGAGAGGCTGAAAAGTTGAAAACGAACTGTTTTTGGTACATAAAACCACACAGATGTCATAAGTGGACCCCATGGAAAAAAAAATAATAAGAGAAAAAGTAGGAAATGGACCATTTAAGCACTTTTTTCCTTTTCTGATAAAGTTCCCATTTCGGAGATGTTAGGTTTTCTTATGATATTTGACTATTGACTAAGCCATTGTTGTTGATGTAACACATAATTGACTGAACAGAAACGAACAACATATTTACCCCCTCTCCACAAGGAATGTGTCCCTCCACACTTTAGGCTTCCGGTTTGGTTTAAATCTGCAAAAACAAAATCCAGACGGCTTTACAGAATTTACATGGAATGGCCATCATATCAAAAGCTACTGTGTATGACCTCTTATGGGAATTCACAGTTTTAAAATAACATCTTAATGTATGAAACCTTTTTCCTCATAATCTATTTATTGTGATTGCAGTCCCGAGAGACTTAGCGATCATAACTCTCAACATACTGTACATACCAGAAAGCCTCCACAAACAAGTTCCAAATGCTCCACTGATTTCCCATCTAAATTATGAATTGTGAAACATGGCGTTCCACACGTTTCCCCACCATTTCCATTTTTTTGCAGATCAGCATGCTTTAAAGTAAGCATAAACTGCAAATGATGTTTCTGTCTACCTGTTGCCGGTCTTCTCATGCTCCAAAAGCTTGAGGATGGACTTGCCATCCATATCGGCTGGAGTGTCCAGGCCAGCAATGTCCAAGATTGTAGGGGCCAGATCGATATTCAGGACAAGATGGTTGTTCCTGTGGGTAAAAAGAAATATCAAGTATGCGTCAACATGACAAATACAAAATAAAATAAGAGCAATCAGAATCATTCATTAGACAAGTATGTTTTAAAATATAAGAATTTGCTCACATGAAGACAGACAGTATAAATCATACCATAGTAAGCAATAATAACAAAAAATTTAAAATAATAACAACATTTATCAATATGGCATTAAATGTAGCTCAGTGTTTCACAAACATAAGACTTGAAAAAGAGCAGGAGTAAAACATTCAAATGAACAAATGAAATGGGTTCAAAGTGAACAGTTTCAAAATGAGAGACATTTAGTAACGAAAAGACAACAATAGAGAAAGTATGAAGTTTGTGTTAAGCTGCTTTAGCTTACCTGCTTCCAGGCTCCACGTTCGGCCCCCTCACAAAGAATGGCACTCTAATATCAAAGTCATAAGGCATGGACTTCCCCTTAACCAGGCCAAATTGACCAATATGATAGCCATGGTCTGCTGTGTAGATGATGTAGGTGTTGTCCAGCTCCCCTGTGTCCACTAGTGCGTTGTATATCTGATGGCACACAAAGTATTTTTTTTATTAGAGATGCACCGATTCATATTTCTGGTCCAATAACACCAGTGACAGTGATTTTATAGTAATACGCTCTTTGTTGCACAGATACTGATACCAATCACTGATAATTTTACTTTCTGTATTTTAAAACTGTAAACTGTTATCCGTATTTAGATTGAGTGCAGTGGCACTCTAAAGATGCTAACTGCTAATACTAGCTGGCCCATTTTCTTTAGGCTATATAGATGACTGAAGTGATGAAATCCATGTAACAGTGTTATGGAATCAGAATAACAAAAAAAGGCAACTACAAGTACAGAAACAAAGAAAGTAATTAGATCACAGACATTATAAAAACAGATTACAAGCAGGACACATTCAAACCACTCTTGTACACAAAGCACAATTCTTCAGATGGTGAAAATCTGACATTGTTTTATTTGCCACTTTTTTCATTATGGTGAACCATCGCAGGCACAATAAATTCATTGGAACATATTGGAAAAAATGGCCTGTGCAAAAGTTATGGCACACATATTTTATGGTTTATTTATTTCAGTATGTTAAACTAATAAACAGAAATTGTGCACAAAATTAGAAAAAAAAAAACCCGACATATTTAAATGTGTTCTCTGTAGAGGATGTGTTAACCTATTTTCACTTACAAAATCAACAAAAATATTATTTGACCAGGGGTGTTCAAACCTTTGCATACAACTTTATGGTGGGCGCTGCCAAAAGTTTCAGCTCCTGAATGAGGTGAGAAAGTCACCATGATGCGTCAAGTAGCTTCTCAGTTATTGTAGGGAGCAAAGTAAGTTTTTTTTACTTAGAGCCATTGTGCTGCTGGTTACTTTTTACAGCACAAACAACACTGCAAACCCAAGAAAGAAAGAAAGAAATAAATAATAAATAAATAAATAAATAAATAAATAAATCATGTTACTTTCACTGTGCATTGTTTTGCCAGACCTTTATGTGTGACCATCATTTTGTTTTATATACCTGTGCTATTTTCTTGTTTGCCTTGTGTTAAGTTAAAGGTGTCTTGTAGAAATTTGTTTTTAATTTCTCATTTTTTAATGAAATAACATAAAAAAAAAGTTTTTGGAAGTAAATCAGGCAATGTTACTTACATTACGTTACAAAACATATGTTTTATGTTACTTCCACACTGCTGACATTTGCACTACCTTACTAGTTGCAATTACCAGTTGTGATACCAATTTTAAGGTCACTAACAATAAATTTTTCATTTATTCAAATGATATAATGGAAGGCTGATATACTGTGCACCCCTTTGGTTGTAATGAATCTACTACGTTCAACGCTCTGAAAAGCACACTGACCTTTTCCACCGAGTCATCCACAGACATCAACGTCTGCAGCCTCTTCCTCTGCAGGAAGTTGGTAAACTCCATGTGGATGGGCTTCATGGGGCCGGTGTACTGCATGATCCAGTGCTTGTCCATGTTGGGTGCATAGTTGTAGCTGGGGGTGCTGTTGAAATAGCAACATAGGACATCTGTGTTCACCATGCACCTGTTTACCATTTCAGTGCCACAGGTGCACATTTAGTTTAACTGCTGTGTAATGCGTTTGACAGGCATCACTAACATATCACCCCACCCACTGTTTGTTCAAGAAAATCTACAAATTCTCCCGGCTAGGTGTTTTTTCAGCACCCGCCGTCCATCTCTCCTCACACCAGCCCGAGAGCACTGGCTCTCTTGGCTCGAGGAAATCATTTGAGGGTTGGCACATGCTTAAGAAAAATAATAAGCTTGCCGGCCTCCGGCGCCCAAAATAAAGTTTGTAACAAGCTCTGGAACGCAAACTCAATAAGTCATGCGCATTTGAAGTGGGCAAAATGAAAACGTAGGTAAACAGCAGTCCATGGACTTGTTTTTGCACTCTGGGTTATAAGATGAGTCCCTGTTCCCGCTATGCAAAGGACTTCAGCTGGATTAGTTTTACCTGGAGAGGATCTAAAATTTATGTAATTACAGATGAGTTTTTTAAATCCAGTATGAATCTGTAGTGTGTAGTTCTTACAGTCTTACAGTAATAACTGTGGAATGATTTAAACCCTGTATGAATCTGCAGAGTGTGTAATTTTTACAGCTTGACAGTAACAACTGTGGAGTGAATCTCATTTTCTGTAAGTGGCTGAATCTGGAGCTCCCTCAGTATTAGCAGTTCACCTCAAACTAATGGAACAGCAAAACCTAATAACAGACACAGCCGTGTTGTTATTGTTATTGAGTCTGTCCTGTGGCGTAAGGCTATGACCTTTTAATCTGAACTATTTTTCTGTGGAAAAATGACAGATACTCTATTCCAAGCCAATCCACCAGTCAAAACTCAACAAATCACTTTATGCAACCTCCTCTGGTAAAATGAATCCAGCTCCAATGTGGCTTTTTCAAAAATGATTTCAAGATGATCCCTCTCTCTGGTTTGGTTTTGTGGAGGTTTAGCTAATGGCGAGGCAGGTTAGCTCATCTTATGATTCTTTCTTTTCTTGTGCACCAGCTGGCAGAATTTTATTTATACTATAAGTCATCTTTCCATAACTTGTGTATTTGCATGAGCTCCGTCTTTTCACTTTTTGTACTAGCGCTGTAGATGGCTGTACAATACCCTTTTCACCATATCAGTAAAGCATTGCATAACTTGATGCCATTGTGATTTGTGACCTTCCTACCCTCATACCATCACATCTACACCACATGTTGCTACCTCTTTACCCTCAGGCATAAACATTCAAAGGGGTTTGTAACAGCAGGAAACCTGTGCCTGGAAAATTAAACCTATATACTGCAGTCTTATTATTCAGTTTTAATATTAGGATAATTATTGTTAAAGCAACAGAACACTAGAGGACATGTTGCCATGAAAAAATCACTGTATGATGTGATTTATTGGCAGACTCAAGCAGAAAAAGAGATATACAGTGCATAGCTTAGGGTCAAACCAATGGTTAGCGGTGGTAAAGAGACCACTGTTGTTACTTAGCAATTGGTGGTCACTGAAATGATGCAGCTATGGTGAAAAAATATTGCTGTACTTCAGTTTTTCAACCGTTTCAACCAGACTGTGGTCAGGACTATCTGCTATTAAATTAATTAAATTAATCAGTAACTACTATGAATTATTCAGAAGCGACTATGAAACTAATTTCTATAGCTTTCAAGGTGAAGAACTGAAGTGTGGGCCCACATACCAACCCTTGCAGTGGGGTTAATGAACTAACCAGTGCCACAGAAGATTGACAGAGCTTCAGTTAGCTTCTACCCTCTCCTTCTCAGGCCACCTTTTGTCCGCTTGCTGAACTTTTCACCCAGCTAACACGGCACAAAAAGGTGGCCGTCTCTTCGCTGTGTGAGAGGAGGTAGGAATGTGGAGGTCAGAAGAGTAAAGCGAGCTGTATTTGACAGGGGTCACATCTGACACCTGCCACGCTAACTATGGAGGGATTGAATCAAGGCCTGCCACGGGACATTTGGCACTGCGCTCAGAACACTAAGTCACTGCAAGGAAGTGCTGACGTTTATTGTCATTATGAAAATGGATAGATGGGCAGATTTGCCTCAACAGTCCCTCCACCTAGAACTGTGCACAAAGCGTTCTGAAAACACGCTGGAAATATTCTGGGCGTGAGGAATGCTAATAGGATTAACATCAACGCCATGTGCCTTTGCCCTTCAAAGTGTAAACACCCAAGTGATTAACTACCACACTACTTCACGTTAGTGTAGCGTCAATGCATTTCAGACTGGCCGCTGTTATGGTTACGAGCCAATGAAAAATATCCAAGCTATTTAGTTTTTCAAGCTAGAACTGTCACAAATTAGCAGCATTGGCACTTGACCAATGACCGCATCAGTGTGACTTATTCCCATTATGCATTTGATGGATGAACCATGATGGTGCCTGAATTTACGTTTGGCACCACACATGGTGAAAGTTCAATTCGATTCAATTCAAATTTACTTGTGTAGCGCAACAGATGTGATAACAAAGCAGCTTTCCAGAAATGTGGGAGCAGCACTCTAATGAGCATGGCAGGAAGAGCACTAGGAGGAACCTTTGAGAGGAACCAAAAGGAGAACCCATCCTCCTCTAGGGCCGGCTGCACCAACAGGGCTTTCGCCTGGTTATATAAGATGAAAGATAAATTAAAAATGTATGCAATTTCTTTCAGGCATCAGATAAGACAGAGGACATGATTGATAAATAATAAAAGACTGAGGCTAGGATCAAGTTAGAAGCCTCAATAAACAGATACATACAGATGACATGGAAATACAATTCAAGCACGGCAACTGCAACGGCAGAGACCTCCGTATATTCATTCCAGTATCACATATTTGCCTGCCAGCTGTCTTCGTGCTCATTTGGCAAAACTTGCCAAGCAAGATTCTCAGCAAAACGACAATATGCCAGTCATCATGAACCCGGGGGCCTCCCTGATCTATTCACAAGTGTGAGCTCATGCTAAAAATATATTAATAACATCACAAAGGGTGTTTGGAGAGCAAAACAATGCATTCCACACACCCCAGAATGCACGGCGGTGAATGGACGGGCTGATTGATATGTCGAGGGTCAGGAAGTCCTGCTAGAGGAGAATCTGAAATAATGGGGAAAAACAACAGGGCAAACAGTGATTGAATAGGGGTGCTGTCCCATCCTCCTTGAGGTTTTAGGATACTTGTGATGCTAGCGGCTACAAGATATTAGGCTCGTTGCCACGGCGCTCCCTGTTGGAATAGGATCTCAGCCGTCAAGTTCTGATGATAGTGCTGCAAACCCATCATGGGCTTGGCACCACAGCGGCGCTCCATAAAAATGTCCCCCCCCCCGATCTTCTTGCTCGCATGTGCCAAAACTATACTTAGACGATAAATCATTTCAATTTCATGGTGGTAAAGTCATTTGCAAGAGCAGCATTTCAGTGCACTGTCATCTCCGTAGATGAAGAGTCTCCTTTTAATAACCTCTTTTGAATATATGGCCCCACAAAGGATAAGAAAAAACAAAATCCACTTATGTTTACCTGCAAGTCAAATTATAACATTGTAAAAATTACAGAGGAATTATTCGGCTCGGAGCGCCTGACGCCACTGTTCCCCAGAAATACAGGCTTTTGTCTCCCATATAATATTCCCTTCATAAAAATGTATGAAACATTAAAAATATGTAGACTCAACAATGCCACTGCCAAGAGCCTATTTCAGGAGGCTGGGATTGCTTTTAGGGAGAACGAGAGGACACAGGGTTCAGGGGAGTTCAGCGCAGTGCCTCAAACAGGATGTCTGAAAAAACTTCCCAAAATGCTTTGGACTCACTCACATGTGTTGTGAAGCGTTGGGGAAGAACTCGGCGTACTGGGGCGCCGAATCCTCCGGGCCGTGGGGCGCCGCGTGGCTGATCACCATCATCACCGGTCGGTGTGGGTACATCCGCTTAGACATGCGGAAAAAATTGATGCTGTCGTTGGTGATCAGATCCGTGAAGTAGTCCTGAGTGGAAAACACATAAACAGTGTGATTTAAAGGAAAACAAGAGACAACAAATTAAACAAATAGTTCAGTGGAAAAGTAAAAACCTGATACATTTGAAATAATTATCTAAACTATTTCTTTGACAGTTAGTTATGCAGTTAGAAATAATTGTTAGAAATAAATAATTAGTTGGATATACACACACGCATATATAGTAACATACATAAAAAAAAAATACATCCACTTTTTTTTTTTTACTTTCACACTGTTTTTCGCAGTTTGGTTAGCAGTTTTCTTGGACTGTAGTTCATTTGTTAATATGTTTTTTGAAAAATTCCCTTACTTAAATGAAGTTCTGAAGGTCTCAACATTTTTCTTTCCTCTCTCACTGTCTGCTTCAGTTCACTGCTGTTCTAAATCACCCCCTAGCAGCAGTTTGATCAGCCCTCAAAAGAGCTCAGTAATGCTGAGATAAATAACTGATCATCATAATGATTTATCAGTCTATTCAGGCTTTAGCAGAGCTCAGTAATACTGATTAATAACTGATCATCATAATGATTTATCAGTCTACTCAGGCTTTAGCAGGAGCTTCAGTGTTTGTAAAGAAGCTGTTTGAGGTATTCAGAATTCATTTAATGATCATGTTTGCTACGTCATACGCTGATTTTAAAACAGTTAATGAACAAGTGTTGATAGTGTTGCTGTTGAAGACTGTATATATGTATTTTACTTAATAGGTAAATATTCTAGAAGATTCCTCCTAAAAATGTAAAAGGTAACTGTATTCAGTATACAGCCTTTCCAAAATGTAACTTGGACTAAACACACTTCAGTTCTGTATACACAACCCTGTATATACAATACCAAATAACTGCTGTGCCATAAAGAACCATAAACAACAGGTCTTCTATTATTTAATGTATTCAAGTGGTTCTTTAAGATGTCCTGGTTCTATATATAAGCACTGCCTTGAAGAACCATATTGATTTTAAGGATGCAGCTTTAATGGATGGTTCTTTAAAGAGATTTTTTTTTGTAAATGAGAAGCAAAAAACTCCACATAAAGGTTCTACACCAACCAATGCTTTTCCTACTTTCTGTGCAGTTTGAGTGAAATAATAACAACATTAAGCAAAATAACTAATGTGCCAGCTTTTACAGTAGCAGCAGTGGGTTGCTGCAGGGCAAGTGTGTTTGCCCGAGGAGCAACTGTGTGATGCTGCAGCACGTAATCGAACATGACATCGGTGTTAACACTAGCAGTCAGTGGCGAGAGGGGGGTCAAGGCTCCCTGCTAGCTCAATGTTTTGACAACAGTGAGGTCTCTCTCTGACCGCTACAAGGCTGAGACAGGAATGTGGACAAGGCCTCTGAAGATCACACACGCACCAGTGCTGGGTCCTGCCCTGGACTAGTTATGGTCCAGACACCTGGGCCTCCTCAGTGTGGCCTCCTGCTCTTCCGCCCCTTCCCAGTAGGCCTCATGCTAACGCTAACACTAACACTCACTGTGGTACCAGCTGCTGTGCGAGTTAGCTTGCTTTAAAAGATGTTTCAGGGACCTGTTAACCCCTTAAGCTGTACCGATGCTGGTTCTCACTCGCGTAACTACATAACTGCTACATTAGTGCACATACAGTAAAACTCTGACTTCATAAAATATAAATTATGAATCAAATTTAACCAAGATTCGATTTGATTGGTCTTCCAATGATGAACAAAAGCCTGCAGTTTAACAAACTTTACTTTTGAAAAAATACATTGTGTAGTGACAACTTCTCTCCACTCCAGAGTTTTATGCAAGCAAATCGTGAGTTACGCTTAATGTCATGCTGGTCTCTCCCTCACCTTTCAACTCAGACTGTCTGAATGCATCAGACTTGAGTAATACACTTCAGGCTCAACGTCAACCTGACAACTGTCATCTGGGCAGACTTGTGTTTCTGTGAAGACCAGACCGAGCTGACTATAAGCATCAGTCTCAGAAAGCAGTAAAACAATTTGGACGTAAACTATAAGAAATGAATTAATGCAGGCTACATTCACGCCTAGTGTACTCTAATCTGACATGAGTACAGTTTGCCAAAGCAAAGTCACATTGATTAAGAGTGAGATGAAGGAAAAACTATAAAAAGCTCAGCAAGAGAATAACTGAGGACCAAAGTACTATTTGGTCTGGCTGAAGATAATCGTCTAAATGTCTGAAGATTGCGGATTACTTAAAAGCAACACTGTAGGCCACAAACTGATGCTCTACAGCCTGCAGGCCTGTGACATTCCAGCTGTTCTTGCGCAGTCCTCTCACATTCAGATGGGACATCTTTGCTGGAATCCATTAAAATGTTCCTGTGCTTCACTGAACCTCTAAAACCACAAGAGCATTCTGCAGCGCTCAGCGCAGAACCTCCTTGAAGCTTTGTGGGTAACTTAACACCTTCGTCTAACTCAACAAGCAAATCGCTGGCATCTGAGCACCAGCCAAACATTTATTTACTCATCTATCAAAAAATAAAATGTCTGCTGAAATTCCATTCTCTGAAATCTGCACAACTGATTCTATATTCTAAGGATTGAATGTTGATTCTTAAAAATACTTTTCTTCTATAAAACAGCTCTCTAATGCTCTATACTGGTCATATGACATCTGACAGATTGCATTACACTACAGGAGGTGGAGTCATGACACAGGTTTGATTGCTGACAGCGGCAAAATAACAGCAGAACCGAAGACGGTATAATAGTCAATAGTCTACTCAGTTATAGAAATAATCATTAGTGGTACCCCAACACCCTCAAAAATGAAGGTGCCAAAAAAAGTTCTTGGGGGCGATGCAATAGAAGAACTACTTTGGTTCCCTGAAGGACTCTCTGTATTGTATAAAAAAAGACAACATGACTTGTAACAATAGTGGAACCGTTTGGTGCTACATAAAACTATTTTTAAGATGTTCATTAAAGAACAGCAAACCATCATTTTATCGTGCAAAGAACCATTTATGCATTCAAGTGTTTTTGGAGCTGTCATAGTTCTATATATAGCCATTGCCCATACTAAAGAACCCTTGAAGAACTTTTTTTTAGCGTGAACTTTTCAACTGATGCTCCTTTGAAGAGCCACACTCTTTAAATGTGCCAGAAAGAATTCTTGGTACAATGCCATAGAAGAACCACTTTTGGTTCTCTAAAGGCCATTTCAATGGAGGATGACAGAGGTAGAGAAATATTTTTGTAAATGAGAAACATGATGGTGAAGGTGAAGAACCTTCTTGAAGTTTAAAGAACCTCCAGATAATATGAACTGGTAATGAACCTTTATAATATGTGCAGGTTCTTCAAGCATTTGAAGTTCTCTAACTCACAAATCTCTTTTTCCAACATGATTGAGGAACCTGAAAAAGGTTCTAAGAATAATCTTTAAATGGGTAAAGAACCTTTATATCATGTGAAGGTTCTTCAAGCCTCTTTTGGCTCTTGAGGAAACCAAAAATGGTTCCTCTATAGCATCGCTCATGTAGCACTTTTGTAAATGAGTGCATTTTGAGATGAGCAAGTGCGAGGAACCTTTTAAAAGGTTAAAAACACAAACATTCGACACCAACTGACTTTCTGGAACCGCATGTCCAAGAACCATTTAGGAAGCTTTATTTTTAAGAAATCAGATTTCTCAAAGACAGACTTACCATTATCTTTACATCGTCACGTCTGACCATTTTCTTAATTATTTTGTGTTTTGGAATCTGTCCAACACTGTATATTGTGTGTGGAATATTACATCCATGTCTTCTAATGATGAAAACCCATAACAGCAGAGCTGTTCCTAAAAGAAACTGTGCCCTCAGGACATCCATTTCGTCTACAGAGTGTTGCGGTGAACCATGTTATGATATAAGACTTGGTGTCGCACAAAACGATGAGACGCCACTGCAGCCCAGAACAGTTCCCTTTAATTTCAACAGATTCCAAGCGGGTTAGATCAACCTGGGATTATGAGTGAGCGGAAAACCTGCAATTAGCCGAGCGCAGACCTTACAATTGGGCATAAAGTAAAAACAAAGGGGTGATGGGATTAATAAGCCCCTGCGCTGGCACCGTGACAGGGCTGTGAACTCAGACCAGCGGGCACATACCTTGGCATAGTCCGCGCCGTGCTTCTCCTTATAACCGTTCCGACAGACTGTGTAATTATAGAAGCGGGAATTTTTGATGAGCCCCACCCACTCACGCCACCCAGGAGGAATGTAGCTGCCATTGTACTCATTAAGGTACTTCCCGAAGAAAGCTGTGAAGAACCAAAAAGACAAACCATTAGAATCTGATCATCATTACGGTGAGCTTTTTTTAGTTTCTCCAAAACTAAATTTCTTCCTAAGGAGTCGAGTTTAGTTTTTTAGTTTCTCAAAGACTAGGCTTCTTCCTGAGGAACCAAAATATGAACCATTAAACTCCAAACATCATTTCTGTTCCAAAACTAAGCTTGCTTCCAAAGAAAGCTGTGAGGACCCAAAAAGATGAAACACCAGAAGCCAATCATCATTGCTGCACGCTCTACTTATTTAGTTAATCCAAAACTAGGCTTCTTCTTCTTGAGGAAAGCTGTAAGAAACCCAAAAATCATTACCCACAAACATCAGTACTCCAAGCTTTAGTTAGCTTATTCCCAAAGAAAGATGTGAGGACCAAAAAGATGAACCATCAACCACCAAACATTATTATTGTGAGGTTTCCTTTCCTTAGGTTATCCAAAACTAGGCCCAATTCTCATTTATCTTCTTGCAGGTCCAGAATAACAAGCCCTCTAAGAAGAGCAGTCTCAGACCTGCATTGTCAAATAAGGATCAATCTCCTGACACCTCCATCCCAAGCTGATCCAGTGTATCCGATTGTAGCCTTCTTTAAAAGTGCTTTTTAAAAAGTCTGCTTACATATCAGTGCACATCTCCATTTTTTTGCTAAGCCACGTTCAAACAGTTCTCCCAAGAGCTGGGCAAGCTGCCAGTCTGTCCTGAAAGTTAATTGTAGACTAACAGATCAGCTGGAGAGCACAGACAGCATTAGGGTCTGCACTCAGGCCTCACACATACACAGGCTGCTGGGCACAGACAGATCGTTGGCTGCTTAGTCAGGCTTAGCTTTAGCACACGCCTGTCAGACTATGCGTGTAGAGTTTGCATTTGTCTTTCAGTAGTGAATGTGAACTGGCATGTCGTTGGCATGATTACTAACGGAGGGTTAGAAAAACCTATGCAGAGGCCTATAAGGCTACACATTTACAAAAGTATATTGAAATGTCATTTTAAACTTTGTATTGTGGAGCAGCAACAAGCTGAAGACTGATCAGAGCAATGGCGGTATAATCAGACAAGTGATCTGCATGATGCAGTTAAGCAGTTAACAACTTACTATAGTCTGTGGCATACGTAAAGACACTGAGGAAGTCCAGACGAAACTGGATGAAAAGAAAACAGTGGTCTGGTCAGATGAGTCATTCTCCACAAGTGGGAGAGTGCATGTGCAGGTTACACCAAGGGAACGGTACAGGCCTGAATGCTTGACCCCTACAGCTAGGCAGTCCGGTGACTTATGCTGTGGGGGGTATTTTGCTGGCATGATGTGTGTCCACTTGTCCCCTTAGAGGGAAATCAATACTAAGTTTTTCTGACTGCATCCAATGGTGAAACATTTCTTTCCTACTGGGAATGGTCTTTTCTAGAATGACAATGCCCCCATCCATTGGGTGCAAGGGGACACTGAATGGTTTGATGAGTATGATAATTATGTAACATGCATGCTATGGCTGGATCTTGACCTAACTGAACACCTATGGGAGATTTTGGACCAACGTTTTTCACTCAAACGCAAACGTTTTATGCTTAAAACACCAACTAAGGGAATATCTGTTGGAAAAAAGGTGCTCCATCCCTCCAGTATATTTCCAGAGTCTTGTACAATCAATGTCAAGGTGCACTGAAGCTGTTCTGACGGCTTATGGTGGCCCACCACCTTACTAGCACACTATGTTGTTTTTTCCTTTAATTTGTCACCCATCTGTTTATTTAAAACTACAAAATACAAGGCAGGAGTACTCAACTTTGGTCCTGGAGGGCTACAGTCCAGCACAGTTTGGGAATTCGCCTACTCAAATACACTTGATTCAACTCACCTGTTTTAAAGAAGGACTACTAGCAAAGGACTGGATTGATCCCTGACAAAAAGCAGAAAATAAAGCTATCCATCACAGTCTATGACAAAACAGCTACTACAGGAATAAAGGTATTAGTCTTAGAGATTCACACCTGTCCTGTAGCCCGTGTTGTTGAGGTAGACAGCGAAAGAGCGCGGCTCGTGCTGGACCTGCCATGAAGGTGATGAGCAGTTCTCATTGTTGGTGTACGTGTTGTGGTTGTGAACGTATTTCCCCGTCAGCATGGACGATCGTGATGGGCAGCACATGGGCGTAGTCACAAAGGCGTTGGTGAAGCTGGTGCCCCCGTCCTCCATGATCCTGCGGGTTTTGTTCATGACCTGCAAGGAGCCTGTGGGAACATATAACCATGTATTTCAGTTTTAATACTAAGGGAGAAAAAAGGTTGGAAGTGCAGAAATGACACAGGACGCAAGGGAGGGGTTCACTCCCTATAAATGAAGACCTGACTTCTTTTGATCAGCACAAAGAAATGCTTATGACGTAGGCTACACAAAAAAATAGTCACTACCTGTTCTTTTGGGGGGACAAAAGGTTAATTGCATTCCACAATAAAAACATGTATCTCCAAAATGGCAACTTTACAGGAGAACTGTAAGGTAGTAACTTCACATTATTTTTAATGTCAGTTAATGTAAAGAGGGATTATTTTGAGCAATTTGAGTATTTTGAATGCATTCATCATATAAGTTTTACACAATGTAAAGGGCAGCTAATGAGCTCAAATGATGTAGAAAAATAAAAAAATGCAAAAATAGACAGTAGTGATATACTGTATGTCAACATTGCTGTTCTTAATTCACAGAAATAGAATGTAAATTCAATACAAAAAAAAACAAACAAATGATCACCTTTATTCCAAAGATATTTGAGTTCATTTTAATGGTCGTTACTGTTACTAAGGTAAAATACTGTATTTCACTAGTGAAACTGTTAAATTACAGAAGCATTTCTAAGATATTAAATTAATTAATTAACTAATAAATTGGTTATTAAAACCTTAAAATCATTAATTAGCTGATATAACCCATAAATAAAAAAGTCAATAATGAGCTGTTGTATCTGATGAAGCTGAGAGGTTTAATGCTGACTGATGGAGAAGACAAAGCAAGATAAGCAACCAGCAAGATCTGCCCTTTAACAGTATAGATGAATGTGGGCTCACCTGGCAAATCAACAGGCCACCGTTACCCTGTTATTTATGTGCTGTAACTTTTTATCAATGATTTTAACGTGTTTATGACCTAATGACTTACCATTAATAACAATAAAATACGTTTTTAAACTTTTCATGAACCCATTATAAATTTACTCTTATTGGAAAGTGATACCTGCTATTACATAATAATAAGTACGTGGCAAAGCGAAAATCACCAATCTCAGCACAAGTCCAAAGCACTCAAATGTCTCCTGGTTTTATGTGTGTCAGGCTGTCTGAGGAATCATCAGCGACGGAGATGCTTGTGCAGCTCGAGCTGTTGGTGGAGAATGTTACACACTTTGTGGCGTTGCAGTCACTGTCTGCGGTCGCATGACTAAACGCCTCAAGCCTCTCAGACATTCGAGTAAGGCCGTTTCCAGTCGTGGGAGATTAAAATGCGAAATGGCTGGCAGGCGCTTAATGTGACGGGCCGAGATTGAGGCTCGCTGATTGTTATATTGTCAAAAATTGGTCCAGTTGATGATGACTGTTAGGCTCCCAGCTCTGACAAACGGCAGTTATGATGGCAAAGCAACTGAATGCCTTGACTACAAAATCATAAGGGTTTTGTTTTAATATATATAAAACAAAAAAACACGCCAGCAAAGGGCACTGGCCTCCACTTTAAACGCTAAATCATTTTTTCCTGGCCGGCTGCAGTTAATAATGAACAACTCGCATGAAAATGAGCACATTTTGGGAGAAGAGTGACAAGGCAGCGGAAATGGCTAACCACCACACTTGCTTTGACCCGTTCTCATGTATAATAAAAGTAACTCTATACTATAGTATGTCCTTCACTCTCTCTGACAAAAAGCTGCTCCACTCCAAATACCTAATTGAAGACATGCAGACATCTGAATTGGCAAGAACAGAAACCAAGGCCTGCTTTGCTGTCTGTTCTTTCATGCTCATGTTTCTGTCTATTACATGTCTATTAAACTGATATTTTGTCACAGCCATTGTTTGAGGGGAAAGAAGGTTTTTTCACCTTTTATCACTTCGATCTCCACATTCTAGCCACAGAGCATTAATCTTTCTATGTCCAAACAAAAGTGCTCTATAGTGCTATATGATGTTCATATGCTGGGCTCTGTTATTCTGACAGAATGCAACACACTGAAGAAAGTATAGGGGGCGATATGACATCTATTGTTTCATTCCACCATAAAAGATGATTATTCATTGCACAGATGGAACTTCAAATGACTGCAGTGCAGTGATGGGGCAAAGTGAGAGGAAACAGCAGAAGCCATAATGCAACAATTATTTGATTAATCAACAAAGGGTCAATATAATAATCTACTTAATCTAATAATCTAGAAATAAACATTAGTTGAGTGCACTCCATTCTGTTGGCAACCAGAAGTATATATGTACAGTGGTGTGCAAAAGTCAGACACGGCCCTTCATTTATTTAATGGCCATTAAGTACAAGTTATTAATTTTTCTGGAGATATTTCTGGAAATACTAGATATATGATAATCCACTTGTATAAGGAATGGGAAAAAAATCCACAGCCGCTCTTCCACTGCGGGAAGACAACTCAGTGCTATGGGTCTGAAAGGATGTGCAGCTGTCAAGAAGCCCTTACTGAGAAAAGGAAATAGAAAAAAAAAAAAAGAAGAAATCAAACAAAGTAGCTACTGGTGTTCTCAGAACAATGGACTGACCACCCAAGAGTCCAGACCTGAACATCGCTGAATGTGTTTGGGATTACTTGGATCGTTAAGCGAAAAGTGCAACTACCTTCTAAGACCGAACTTTGGAGGTGTGGAAAAGTATCTCTGCAGATTCTCTAAAAATCTGAAAGCAAGACTTCTGAATGGAAGCTGTAATAAAGGCAAATAGTGCAGACTAAATTAAATGAATTGTTAAATATATGTTTTCTGCACTGTTTCCTGATGCTGAAAAATGAATAACTTGTACTTATTATCTTTTTGTCAGGAAATTAAATAAATGAACGGTGGCCTTTAACTTCTGTACAGTACTGCATGTTGCATTACAATTATATAACTAAATGTATTATATAAACTGAATGTATAATAACTCTACACCACTAAGGAATAAGAGATTGCTCACCCAGCTCCACATCTTGGTCGTCCGTCATGATGAGGATGATGTTGGGGCGAATGTTTCGGCGGTCGCGCTGTACCCGGCCCCTCAGGCTCTGTCCCCGAGTGGTGAAGCCTGAGGCCAGCTGGGCGGCCAGGGCCAGGGCCAGGAGCCAGGCCAGACAAACACGCTTCATCATCCCACACTGACTCACACTGCTGCTCTAAGGCCACCAGAGCTTCCACTAGCAACTCTGGAAAAAAGAAAGGACATGTTAACATATGTTCATATATATGTGAGTATCGTGAGAAAGAGAGCAAGAGATTTTGGGGGGAAAATGAAGTAAAAACAAATGTTCCTTTGACTCTTGAGATCTAAATGACCCTCTTTTTGGAAAAAAAAATAAAATAAATGACAATTCCAGATCGCTGGCTAAAACACTTAAACACACTTGCACCTGATAAATCGTTTACATTCTGCACTTAAACCTAATGTCAGCTGAGTATATATATAGCGTCCACAAACCAAAAAGCAGACCGTAGAGAAAAATTGGTCATGTCAAGCTGACCACTTTAAACTTACAATTACAAATACAAAAATGGCTTAATAAATCACAGTGTTAACACTGACTTTAAACATTCAGTGCAGCGCACAGACATGCTGAGCCTCAAAAGTGTTGAAAAGGTTTTAGCTAATGACAAATTACTGGCAAAATGAAAAAATATTAGCAGAACCGCAAGTCAGAGCTCACTGCTATGCTTATTAATCCTACCTGTGCAGCACTTATAGTGGTCTCATACTTCTCCCTCTCTTCAACTATCCAGAAACATAGCCTCAAAGTCAGTGCATTCCCTTCCGCTCCACAGTGACAAGCGCTCACTCTCATCTGTCCCACTAGAGAAGAAGGTTTCTCATTGGCCAGCAAAATTTACACCAGCCCAAAGCCAGCCAACCACGACTCAGGACTGAGCTGTCACTCAGAAAGCCTGGGTGTGGTGACCCCTGGTGGGGTGTGAGGAACCAGGGCTCTTTGGACAGAGAGAGGAGGTTCCGCTACATTAACCCCTCTACTGCCCTCGACACTCAAGGGGAGGCTATTCGTCTCTATGCATCACTGAAGACGACAAAGACAGTCCAGCTTTGCTAGAGATGACCATGCGGTTCAAATTCTTGTCCTCATCTGACAAAAATGCAAGCTGGGATTTACACTGTGTGAACATTTTTATGATTAATGGGCCAATAAAAATAGTCAAAATTATTGGGGGGTCGTCTTGTTACATTAACGTACATTAAAGGCCAAAAACATAACTTTCCAATAGGAAGGATGGTTTTAAATGTGACTATATGAAGGTATGCATTATATCCAGATGTTAGAGTTATGGCTAAATACAATGCTGTAATTTAATACGCATTATTTCTGACTTCTAGTTCACTACAATAAATTGAGAAAGTATTTGGAAAGTGCAGACTTTCAATCCATACCACATTTGCATTTGTAAGTAGAATAGGATAGACTTTATTGCAATTTGAATTTGCTTAATGGTTATTGTTGTTTCTTATGTCTTGTTTGCATTATGACATGAAATGCAATGCAAAAAAAGGTTAAACACAAACATCTTTTACATTAGAATGAATTTCTCAGCAAAGTCAACATGACACTAGACCATACTGGTATTTATGGACAAGACTATGCCCCCATAGCAAAAGCAGCAAACACATAGGTGGGCTTTATTAATGCAAGATGAAAGTCATTAGTGTGAACACCTTACAGGGCACCAGATTGCCAGTGAGGCCCCCTTTGTCCAGAATCAATGGGCTGAAACAAATGGGTCTTTACGCACCTGAGCCTTCACTAGAACATCACACACGTCTTCCCCCACTAACATTCACACCAGCCAGCTCCGCTGACCCTCAAACCTCAACTGGAGCTGTGACAATGGCATTGAATAGGACCCTGAGGAACCCATCGAGGAAAAGGGCGGGAGACATTCCGCCTCATTTTTCTCTATTTGGCAGATACAGAGCATCAAAGATAACGAAATACGATGAAAGATGCTCATTTTTAAACTTTATGTTGCAAAACCTTGTGAGGGAGTTTCGCTAATCCTATAAAGTGAAATTCCACTGGCTTTCCAAAACGTCTGCAGAACTAAGATGTCAAGACAAAGTCATTCAGAGTGGTTTGATATGAAATGCTCCATTCTAGAGAAACTTCTAAGCATTCACCATTGTTCATAATGGTGATAGGAACCAGACATCTGAAGAGTTTAACGCCTCTAAAAGCTCCCTCACAGAAGGCTATTACACAAAATGGTCATAATATGCTGCCTGATGCCTGAGGCATTGGTTTATGATGGTTCTGGGATATGTCTTTGGCCTCAAATATGTTTTTTCATCCATTCATGGTGGAGAAGCACATGCATGGTGTTGCAAAGCAAAATAGTCCCTAAAGAACTCTTTTCATATTTAACTATACTATATTTAACTATAAATATAGTAAAATTTATTCTATTGTTTTATTCTACTTAATGGCTGCATTCAAGGTGCAAAATACAGGGGGTCCTGGGGGTCCAGGACCTCCTAATTAACCTTTTGGACCCCCTGAATGTCTCAAAATCAAAATTCTGGTGATCCTTGAAAATAAATCAATGTTATGCTGCTCGTTAGGGGAAAAAAAGATGCTTAAATACAAATTCAGGGAAAAGTCATCGTTTAGCTGCTTAACTAACTAGAGCTGCAGCACTGGTCTGCCTCAGGGTGGCGCTGTGGCAAATTGGTTCACCCAGTTGATCCTTCATAGCCTAGCAACTGTAACTATGCCCGGGATACCTCTGAGAAACTTTACAGTTTGCCGCAGCATATTTGTAAATCTGAAAAATTCTTAAACCAAACATTTTGTTGCCATTGAAGCTAGCATCAGCGCTGCTATGGCGAAAGAGCTAGCAGACAGTAAACGCTGGAGAAGCCAGCCAACGTGGGCCCCCCCCCCGAATACCAGGAGGTATTTTGCACACTGGCTATATTTGTGTTGTAGACAATGTGACCCCTGGTTCCAATCACCACCACTGTAAAGAAATCAGTCAGCAAAGACGTCAGTAAATTTCTCTGCAATGAATCATCTCACATCAAACCACTCTGAATGACTTTGTTCATCTCTCAAAGACTGAATTATACATACATTTAAAAAAACTGGTAGAATTCCCCTTCAAAGCTCTGAACTATAAAGACCAGTTGGCATTAGCCCTTCATTAGCATCATTTAGCTGCATTAGCTTTTCCAGATTTCAGTTCTTCACTCTTAGAACTGCATACAAGAGCTGCAACTACTGTTTGTTAATCTCAATACTGGCTTTTCAATACTGATATCACAGAAGGCTGCAATATGCAAATTAGTACCTAATCTATTACAATATGAAACAAATGAATTTGTACATAACACTGTACTTAAATACAGTACTGAAGTTGTTTACCACAGCACATTAGTAACTGACAGCAGTCACTGGTTACAAGCCTTAGGATGAATAACTGACTAACACACCTAGAGTTCAAGGGTTTAAAGTGTAAGTGCTTGTGTTTCTGGGAGTTTTTCATCTTGGGCAGTTGCTCAGCTGATAAGCTGTTTCTCAGATGGAGCTGTAAGTGCTTTTTTGGACAGTGTGGATTTCAGACAGGCAGCACAAGGGCCAGCCAGAACAGTCTCCCCGACAGCACTGTGCAAACATTGGCGCTGTTTGGACAAACCCCCGGGTGTAGGGGTGGTAGGGTCCAGACACAGATTTCACACACACACATAGCTGGACTCTGCTGCTGATGACTCATTCTGAACTTAACTCCTCCCCTTCATCGATAGCTCTGCATAATCAAGTTGGCTCTCGTACCTGTAGAAGCAATCGGATCGGCCCTGGCCAATAACAGCATCCAAATTTGTCTCATTTCATGCAATTTAAAGCTTTGGCCCATCTCCTTTAGTCAAGTCATACACACAGAGGAATTCCCCTATTTTTAAACATTTTCACTGTGAAAAAAGCCATTCAGAATGTTTTAATATTACTTACTGACTCTTATTTCTTTACAGTGGTGGTGATGTGATGATAATCAGGGGTCATGTAATGTATAGCTCATGTTAGAATAGCAGTAATTATGAAATAATACGTTTTCTTTGGGGACTATTTTGCCTTAAAATACCGTGTTTGTACCTCTCCGCCATGAATAGATTCCAAAAATATGTTCAGGACAAAATCTTCAACTATGTCTCAGACATCAGGCGACATAATCATAACAATTTCATGTAATAACTCTGTGTGAGGGAGCTTTTAGAGACAAAGTCTTCCTATCACAACAATTCTGACTCGCTAACTTTCTCCAGAATGCTATATTTCACATCAAACCACTCTGAATGACTGTATAAATAATTTTTTACCCATTTAATTATGCAGAAATCACTGAAATACCGCTTGCAGTTAAAGATTAGTGTGCATTAATACCTGCAGACTTCAATGATTTATGTTTGTTGGGCCATGCAAACACCTTCAACCAAACACTCAAAAAGCATTCTGTGATTGGTCAAAGGTTAATTTGCATATCATATAGGGACAAAATATTAACCACCTTCCTCTCCCACCACCCCCACTTATCACCACCTGATACCATGTTTCACTCACAAATGTCCAAATGCATTACAATTTCCTATTCACACTGACTTCAGCTGAAACATAATGCAATTCAGTCAGATAATAAGCTTTGCTGGCGAACCTTAAATTCACCCCAGGGCGCTGCGCTCCAGGATGACACCCACGCTTTCCTTTCAGCACTGCAATTTTAGAAAATGGTCAGTCCAAAATAGCTCTTCTATTTTCTGCGCTGGATGGACGGATAGATGCAGGGAGGGCCAGGAATTACAGCCCCATTTTAATTACCCTCATTATTGCAACAAAAAAGAAAAAAAGGGCTCCGGCCAACAGGCCTGGCAGCGGCGTGCGTCTCCGCTTCGCCACACGCTGACGCGAAAGTCCTCCACTGACCTGCTGCTGGTGAAAAGCAAGCGGCTTTCCATGAGCAGCAGAAGGCCCTCCACCGCTCCATGCAGGCCTGGTATGCAGCCATTAGAATGTGATGTTTATGTTTGGAGAACTGGCAGCCCTCTCTGGCTCAGGAGAAACTGTTATGCAAACCTTTGTGCAGTAACCTTTCACTTGACTAGAAAGCAGCAGCAGAGCTTTAAAGTAGCTCAATAAACAAGCGCTATTCTGTTCTC